CGTAGAACGCCGGCGACAGCTGAGCGTGGGCGGCGCTCGCCAGCAGAGAGAGGATGGCCACCGCGAGAAGGCCATTAGAGAAGGAAGCCATGATAGGAGGAGAAAGGAGGAGGTGGAAGCCACCGGTTCGCCGCCTGTTAAATATATAGAAAGAGAGACCACACTGGTAGAGCTGCTGCTGCTTCTGCTGCTGCTGCAGCTGCTAATCTTGGGATGTAACGTGATGGGAGCGGACAACTTCGGATCCTATACCGTCACATGGATCGCTCAATTCTCAGTATGTGGGCGTGATAAGAAAGGGTTTGTGCGTGTTATACAGCTAGCTAAACACTGGAGGCAGATTCGTGGGGATGTGACAATTGTGCGTCTCTATCCTCTTATCGTGTACGTTGGACAACAGTGGGGGAGTGCGGGAATGTTATCTTTGCCACTTTGCTTGAGCTGCTGATGCAAACAGGACCACCAGCACAGGGCACAAGTGATCCCACAGAACCGATCCATAGGTGATGAGGAGGGCTTAAACTATGCCTCCTTTTAAGATGATGATGATGAATTGGGTCACAGACGTAACATGGCATGAGCGACGTGCGGTTCGCAGATACCTCTACGGGAGCCGCTGATTAGTGTAGTTTGTTGGGAGATTGACGTTGATGGGACGTAAATGTGTGTTCGATCGTGATTGGTTGCATAAAGAGGATGGAGTACAATGTGAGCTTTAAATAGCAGTGGGATCGTTATTACTTTCAACCGTGTTAGGTGGCACGGAGTTGTCAACACAGCTATTGTTTCTTATATCCATTTTTCTACAAAATTAATTTTGCGCCCGCCAAAAAATAGTGAGCGTTGAGCGGGCAGAAAAGCCGAAAGCGTCCCATCCTGCAATCCACTAGGAGGGCTGGATCTTAGTTCCTTCTATAACACTAAGCCTACGTGTAGCCAATTATGACTCACATTTGGAACTTAGTTAATTCTGTAATAAGCTTATGACACCATTATGATATTAAAAAAAATATTTATATACTTAATCTTCTATAATTGACCCGACCATAGTTACAGAATGAATGAATGCTATAAGTCACTCAATCACTCAAAAAAGATGATACTTGAAGAATTATCTTTATCGAGACTGGATAATTGAGAACCCTTCTTACTTTGAAAGATCTCGATCTAAGTTACCCAACAAGCTTCCTCAATGACAGCTTTCCCTCCTCTTCTCTTCTTCTTCTTTACATGTGCACATGAGACAAACATTAAGCTTGGCGTACACACAACACATCATTTATCACTTCTTCGACTTAAAACAGTTTCAACGTCTTACCAGAGTTGAATAAATATGAGTTGAGAGTATTCCCTTTAATTCACCTTAATTCATCTCATATGAGTTTTTACTATGCAACATATAACTCTAAAGCATTGAATAAATATTAAAAAAATTAATAATAATAATAAGACAACAAGTTTGAATGCTTTGCACCTCGTCCTTAGTTCCACATGCAGCCACCCACTTCAATGATGTAGCTACAGGCACTCCTAATGATTGCAGATTCTCAGCACTACCCACAGAAATATGAACCTGTTCGATTACTACTACTGAACAAATCAATGATAAATCTCTATCATGAACATTCAGAGCATAGAGATTGTTCATGAGATCTCTATCACAAGATTTCGATTAAATTCTATCATTAATACTACAAACCTCAATCATCAAAAGCAATTTGATATGTTTTGGCCGGTCAAAAAAATATTAACATGCTCTAAATTATTGATCATCTTATGCACATCAAATAACTTAAGATAACATGTAGGTAAGTCATATCACTAGTTTCTATCTATAACTGTCGTAATTGAAATTTGACAAAGTTAACAATCATCAATCCAATTAAAACTTTAACATCAAAAGTTGGCTCATCAACGAAATAAAATAAAGCAAGCGGCAGAATCTTGTATACGTATGCAGGCCAAACTTAATAAAGCAAAGAGAAGGAATCAAAAGCACATAAAGCAATATTTGACTAACAATTCAAGAAAGTTAATTAGTTCAAACATAAAGTACAACCATAATAAAGCAAACATGAGAACAGATCATCCCAAAAAAATTCTAATGAACAGATCAATAATAGCACTATAGGATAGCACCCTCACCAAACTTTATGTGTCAAACAAAAATCTTCTAGATAAATCAATAACTCAAAAAAGTATTTGGCGTTTCTTTCATGCCTTAGCTCTTTGAGGCTTGCTTCTCTTTGGCCTTCTGGATCTTCAAAACCTTCTTGACAATCTTCTGCTCTTCGACCAAAAAGGCCCGGATAATCCTAAGAAGCCAACAAAGAGACGAGTCACACGAGAAAAACAAGCAACCAGATTCAACCAAGAGGCTTGGCTTAAGCAGCAATCACCAACCTTTCCCTGACTGCGCTTCCAGATAAGACCCCACCATAAGCCCGGTTCACAGTCCTCCGGTTTCTGGACAACCTAGACCTCTTGTACTCGGTAGGTCTTAGGTGAGGAATCTGAAAGTATGAAACAAACAGCATCATATAATCTCACTAGCAAAAAGAACTTTGATAAGTAGTAGAAATGTTAACACTTCTAATAGATGGTGTATCAGAAAGAAGATACTATTGGGAACCTGAAAGGTACTATCTGTCTACTTCAAGGGTGGAAAGGTAACAGACGTCATAAGTTTCCTGGAAATTATATTTATAATTTTGATGTTAAAATAACTGCAGGACCATATGTTTCACCATACTGCCCTCATCAGGAAGATGAGTTGAAGGAGGATGGGAAGAGGTGAAGGAAAGGAAGAGGGGTTAGGAAGTAGACGAGGTGGTGGAGAAGAAAGGACCAGGAGGAGGAAGAGAAATAGGAGAGATACTGTACTGGAAGGGAGGTTAGGCCAATGGCAGTCAGCAATGCAAGGCATGAGGCTTGTGATATGCTTGTTAGAGAACTATGTGTGTGTGCATCAGAGAGAGAGAGAGAGAGAGAGAGGGGTGTTTACTAATAAACAAGTTCTAAATAAGAAACCCTAAACCAGACCAGTCAAGGCAAAAAGCTCTGGTCTGTGCCAATTCAACATAGGACCAATAATACCATCTGGAATGTGCCAGTCCAAGTGGAAAATAAAACCAGAAACTCTAAAATTGGTGAATCTACACAACATTCAGACATGAAAATAATAATAGATGCCTGAAAAAAAAAATTATAGGTGAAAACCAAGGACATTAAACCACAATGTATAAGATACCTAGTCGATAACAAACTTGCAACTCTATAATTCGATGATTCTACCACCACGGGTTGAACCATGGATGCTGAAGACACTAATACATACTTACCTCCTCAACATAAACAAAAGGCTCGTCATAAAGTGGTATTCTGCTTGGGTAACATTCCTAACCTCGAAAATTTGATGTGTCGAAAAACTTTTATCAAACAAAAAAGACATGCTGATCATGTTTCTAAAATGTTAACAATTACAGAAGCATATGCAAACCAGATATGTCTCCTGTTATGCTTATTCTGATATTTTATTCATAGTCTCACTTGGGTTAGCAGAGGCAGAACGATCAAAAGAAGTGAAAGAAAATACAAACCACATACAAAGTCCAAGAAATTTCCGAGTCCAACACAAAATTAGAAATATTGTGGGAACACACTTGTTCGTGAAATATACCAAACTATGATTTCCTTGATTTTAAAGACAGAACTGCTCATTTGGTGCATTGCATTGCTACTTCAGGGAAAATTTTCCCGATACTTTGTAATACAATTCTTTGGTAATTTATAATTAGAAATTCAAAAACAAGAATAAGAAAAATCTTATGTGCCTATTCCACTGCCGAATGAAATAATTTTCCGACGACGGATCAGAAGGAATTGCTTACCCCTTGGATTCTCTTGCCAGTCACAGGGCATTTCGGCCCGCTCGCTCTCTTGTTGGTGTACTGGTACACAAGTCTCCCACCTGCATTTCCACATCAAACCCAGTCAAGAAAGAGCCCAAAAGGCACAGTACAAGCGAAAAAAAGCCACCAATCGTAAACAGCAGCGCCTATCATCACGATCAAAGGGAAACAACAGCATACAAAACAAAACAATTTTGCAACCGCCACGAATCCGATCGCAACAAGACCAAGAAAACCTCGTACCAATCTAGCGAGAGCCCAAGGCCAGAAGACGATCATCTAGACCGCAGAACGGATAAAAGAGATGGCAAGATTGGATCATTACCAGGGGTTTTGACGACCCTGGTCTGGTTCGATTTCGTGGCATAGCTGTGCCTCTTCCGGTAGGTTAACCGCTGCACCATCTCGCCTCACGGTCACTCGCCGCCGCGTGTTCTCCGAAGGTGAAGGCGAGCAAAACGCAGAAGAACCCATCACAAATATCGGAGACGCGTATAAAAGGAGGTGCCGCCCTCGAAAACATGACCTAGATCCAATGGTTCGCCTTCATTCGATCTGACGGTCGACATTCTACCAAATAGTGATCGGTCAGCGCGGGGTCAAACATCACGAGCCTCTTCGAATTGAGTCAGTCTCACCGAATCTAAGAATAATGTTGACGAATATGAGTCATTAAGATTTTAGGAGTAAATCACGTGAATAACAGAAAAGAGTGGACCATTTATAATCAACTAATTTCTTCATTTAAATAAGAGTAAAATAATACATATAAAGTTACTGATGTTAATTCGTGGCTTTCTACGTGGAGCCAATAATCTTTGTTGATGAGTTCTGATGTGTGATAATTCTTGCGAGTGACCTTAAAAAGGATGAGAAATGTTGCATGAGTAACCTTCATGTGTAGATTACGATTATTGATGTGTATTCCGATAGAGCTTACATAAGCTCCAGTTTCTGCTTAGTTGCACGTATTATAAGAGAAGTGGAATACCGACACATCACAGACCAAGCATCGGGTTTACTTGCCACATTGAAACTGTTGATAGGCAGAAATATTCCTGACGCAACCAAAACAAGCGGACACAGACGTTTATATAACTTGTAGAACTTCATATCAGAAAGTGCGCAGGAAACAGTAGTAGTACGAGTCTGATAGTTGCAAAGAATTTTGGGTAAGCAAAAAGGGTTTAATGTGAGTTGAATAAAGCTTCAAATAAACAAAAACACTATCCATCATCGGAAAATCTCAGAAAACCTCCAGCAACTCCGGCAACGGAATTTATGCAAGCATCGTACAAGGTGCCAACTCCGGTAGCGGACCGCCATGAAAGATAAGAAGACCTAGCTCATCCTCTGGGCAGCTTCCTTGGCCAGCAATTTCTCCCTAGCTTTGGCTTTTGCCTGAGACTTGGAACCCATAATTCCACCACCCCACTTCCTTCTAATCTCGTCAAACTTGTCATTGAAGTTAGCCTGAAAGGAGAATAGGCATCATTATATGCAGACTTCTACAAGTGAAATTGCAAATGGAGTCGCATGTTCTGATATTCACCTTAATGGCCTCCAGAATCTTGCTAAATTCCAGTTTGTCCTCATTCTTCACAGTGGTCAGACACAGGACTGATGCGGTTTTCTTATGTACGATCTAGAAGAAATTCAATTTACAAGAAAGAATCTGTGTCAGCACAAAAGAGAGTTTTGCTTCAATTTAAAGTTTTAGCAGAATGTCAATGTAAAAGAAAATTTCACCAACCGCTCCCAAGCGGGCTTTTCCCTTGACGATACAGTAGGGAATCTCCATTTTCCTGCACAAGGCAGGAAGCCATACCACAAGCTCAATTGGGTCCACATCATGAGCAATCACCACCAACTGTGCCTTGTTCTGCAAGCAGGTGCATCAAGATATTAAGATGAGACACTCAACGTTTCCTAATCTCAATTTTGTGAGTGATTTTATTCGTCTAGAGAATTACGTGAAGACTTGATCAGCAAACATGAAGAGGAGACAAAAGAAAGGCAACCTGCTCAATAAGGTAAGTGACATGATTGAGCCCATACTTGACAACAATGGGCTTCTTCACTTCAACTGTCTTCCCTTCAGCCTCAGCTTGTGCCCTCTTCAGAAGCCTTTCCTTCTTTGCAGCTCGGTCTTCAGGCCTGTACTTGAGAAGCATCTTGAAGAGGTTCGTAGCTACAAAAAGATTTTGAAGGCAGTTACCATAAGTAGGATGTCATAGCACAAAGAGGCCAAAAGATGCATCTTATTTTAGAATGAATACTTGTATTGAAACAATCAGATTTGCCTAAAAGGAATGGCAAAAATTCAAAAAACATGCCAAGAGAAGATATATAACAGATTCTCAATCTAAACTTGTAGTACATGGAAAGAAAAAATGCAGCAGTTCAAAGGCAACCCTATTTTTCCCAAGATGACAACCAAAACTTATTCAGATAAAAATGCTTGCTGACATGAAGATAACAAATACCAGGAGACACCAGAAACCTTTTTTTATCTTCTATTACACATATATAAGAAGAAGGATTTGCTGTAGCGATGCATATTGGGCAGTACATACCGGTCTCACAAGATATCGATAAGCGGACCACCCTCTACCGGGCGGTACCGGTCACTTGACCTCATATTAGGTGATACACAGTCTATACCAAGCAGTAACGATCAAAATCCAACCATTACCGACCTGTATCGATCAGTAATGATCGGATTTCAACCATTACCGATCACAAACTGAGATTGCCTTATTTCAAGGATTATAGATGAAATGGCAAATAGTCTCTCTAAAATGACAGATCCAAGAACAATATAATATAACAGGATCGGCATAAATCACTCAGAACTCAAAAGATGTCAAGCCAGGAGCGTTAAAAACTGCTAAAATCAATCACGGTTAGCCCAACATTGACCAAACCGGTTGAAGGCAACCGATCTTTCCAACAGAGCCTTAGCAGAATCTGACTGATCCCCTCGAAATCCACCAATTTAGAATAAAATGCCATGATATAGACATTGATTGGACATAATTTATTCTTATTAGGGCCCATATGGATTATTGAACAGAAATATGTAGCATTATATAACTTACTTTTTAGTTTTCTCTCCTTTCCATGTAGAAAATAATTTCCCTTAATGTCTCTACCAAATTAAAAATAATGGCAGGTGAGCAATGATTTCAAGTGTGTAAATCAACCACTAACTTGCAAAATGTTTAAATATCCTAGTTTAATAATAATGTGTGACATCTATTCACCAACATCTCATATATAAATACAACATAGTTCTTATATCATTAGAGCAGAATTAGATAAACAAACAATTAATTAGACCTAAATTATGTAACCACAATTGTACTTGTTACATCAATTAACTGGAGATCAAATGCTAGTTTCATTCTGCAGAGAAGCCAATCAAATTTAAACAATTCCCAAATAATAAATCATGAAAATTTAGAGGCTTACCTTTTCAAGATGAATGTACTTTCCACCTCAAAACTGTCGTTCCTACCTTTCATATTTACCCAATCCAGTGAGTTAAGAAATGATTTTATTTAACCAATGTGCAAAACAATCATGGCCCTTCTTCTATGGTTGTCCAAATTACTGATTAAAAAACTTTAGAATTTTAAATTTCACATGCTAGCTTCTCAACCTTACAGTTGTGGATCTATTTTCTGCTAAAACACTCGAGCCCAGAAAACAATCCAAGAAATGGATTTGATCCAATTACATTAAGCTGTTAAGAAAGAGGTGCAGAACGGGAGGTAGTCCAACATAGAATGTGTAAAGTTGTTAAAAAATTGTTGCGGGATCCAAAATGTGAGTTGAAATTATGCAACGATTACAAGGATAGTTAAGAGTCAAGACAACATTTTACAAACAGTAACACCATTCCTGAACTAAAAAAAGCTTGATCAGCATATTTACTACCAAGAACATCAAGCTCATAGAAAGTTAAGGATGATGAAATAATACAAAATTAATAATTTCCATAAGTGCATAAACATTTGTACCAATCCGGCACCAAGAAAGCATGTACGTATTACAAACAGCTAAACAAAAACAAGAAGTTATAACTATACCCTGCAAACAAATTATCTGATTGAATGTCAGTTCCTATAGTAGTGGTCACCAAAAAACACATAATTAAGTATCAAACTATAATAACAAACAAAATGTAAGCATAATTCGTTTTTATCTCAAACTTATGATGTCAAAAATTATTTTCGTTAGCGTGATTCAACCAACCAAAATAAAACAGATAAAGAGGAAGAAGAATAGAGATTTTTCAATCACCAAGGTTCTTGTCCAAAGTCCGAGTGAACTGATTCAACGCCGGGGGAACCTTCAACCGCTGCTTCAATATCCTCTTTTGCCTCTGAATCCGGACAACCTTTGGCCATTTCACGAACCGATGCAGATCCTTCTTCGGCGGCAATGCCCCTCCGATTCCAAACTGCTTCGGGCGCTTCTCAAACAATGGGTTCACAACCTTCTCCTGAGAACCAAACATCAGCAATCAGCGACAGAAAACAATTATTCAACGAAAGCGTAAACCAAGAAACAAAATCCAAAATTCGCTACGCATCTACAAATAGAAAAACAAGAAGAAAGACAGATTACCGGTTTCTTCTTTGCCGGAACGGCTGCCTTCCCACCTCTTTTTGGGGCCTGGAGGACGAAAATTCGGCATAAATAAGTAATATTTAGTACGAAAATTCGTAATCAAATGGCTAATAAATAAGTAAGATTGAAAAAAACATCCAAGCGTCATGAGCGCCCACTTCTTGATCCAATCCCGCGAGACTAGGAACTATTTGCAGGTACAGATAGCTAGATAGGTCGAATTCTTGGAGGTAAAATGTGGGAAGAGAGGGATTTTAGCGTACCATCTCGTCTCTCGCGAATTAGGGTTTGGAATCGGACGACGGCGGGCAAACACCGAAGCGGCGTCGGCTGGCTCTTGAAAAGGGGAATTTATATACGACGGCCCCCAGTTTAGACACTGTAGGGTTTTATAGCACGTGCCTGACACGTGCCGTTCACAGCATTATTTGATTCATTATTCTCTCTATTACTATAAGCATCTAATTCCGTATGGTAATATTAGAGAATAATGAATCAAATAATGCCGTGAACGTCGGAGGGACGACTGATAGAAATTTCGAGACTCCATCTAATTCCGTGTCGAGAGATCGTCTCGAGTATGCGGTCCCTCCGCTGTCGACGTTTCTGTCGCCGTAGATGCGGGGGGCGGCAGCTGGTGCAGCGTGCTTGGCCTACGGTGTGTGCGCCGGAGAGCGAGATCACGTCCCAGGGAGCGAGTCCCTTGGAGGCGAACGAGGAAACGAGGCCGGATAAGCTCGCGCTGGGCGGCGGAAGGTTCGCCGTGGCGGAGGCCTGGCTTGTCGTCCTCGCGCCCCCGCGGCCTAGAAATACCGCCCAAGACGGTCCTCCAAACTGCAAATTGGACACCATCACAGACATAAGTATGACTAAGACGAAGGAGAAGCTACTGATGGATGTATGGATCTGATGCTAACCAGTGCGACACTTTCTCGAGTTGCAAGGCCAAGGATGTCGGCGCAAGACACAGTCCCCCTGCAAAGTGATTCCACGCGTGCGTGCCTTGATGGCATCTATGACTTCGAAGCCACGGAGAGAGTTCATCCAGAAGCACCGACGGAGGATGGTGTGTCATCCAGAAGCACCGACGGGTCACAGCCCTTAGCAACACAATCAACAAGTAACGTTGATAAAGAAGCTAGTGGAGGTCGGATCTCTTCGGGACCTGCTGCACGGTGGCGCGCGCGAGAGGCTGCAGGCCGGGGCAGCGGAAGCAAGCAGAAAGAGGAGGAAGATGAGAACGTGGAAACCACACGACTCGCACGGCGTGATGCGACGAAGAAGCGTGGCAGCCACACGACTGTACATGCACAGGTAGGTGGAAGGGACGATTCAAGAAAAGCGATAGATTTAAAGGGGACGAAGCAGAGATCCAAAAGGGACGAGAAGGAACGGGGAGGCGAGGGCAATGACGACGAAAAAGAAAAGGTCCAAAATGTAAGGTCGAATCTGAACACCATCGAGCTGGTAGTAACTGAAGGTCAAAAGGAGAAATAGTGATTACGACATAGATAAAAAGATCGAAGGAAGAGGGTAACAAGACATAAACAACAAGCATTGAACTTAGCAAGTAGCAGGAAAAGGTCAAAAGGAGAGGAGGAGAGGTGAGGATGATGGTACAAAAAGCGACGATGAACAAGGGATGGAGGCGACACCGACGAACACAATTTCATCTTTTGGGAAATAAAATATGCTCTACGAGAATAAATAGATCCTAATTAAAAAAATAAAAAAATATTTGTTTTAGAATTTAACCTTTATTTATTACTTATATCACTAAAAGACATGAAAACCAAATTGATTAAACGCATACGCAGGCAATGCAATGTAAGCATTTAAAAGGCAACATTGCTCCAGTCATAACAACTGCAAAAAATTTGGAATTCAAACTGAATGACCAGGGCGCACCTTCAATGACAAAAGGAATTGTCGATAATTCATGTATATTCACTGTTTCATCTCAGCTAAATGTAAATCCATAATGCATTAAAATTGCTAAGATGCTATAGAATGATTTGTTGCAAAGCAAAAAGAGATGAGCAAGTATATGCTCCAATTTTGATCAACAATGGATTATACTCCAGTTAAATATGCAGCAAGTTGGACTGTCAAAAATCCATTATCTCTCTGAAGGGACTTATTTCTGAATTCCAAGTGGGTAAAGAAAAGGCCTCGTGATATTTTGTTGAGACGTCGGTTTTCATTGTTCGAAAAACACAGCAAAGATGAGGCTTAAGAGGATTTTGTCACCTCGTGGATAGCATTTGCCAAGTAGCCAACATTGCCAGTCGTGACACCAGCCATACTGTACATATGGGCACAAATCAAGATATTGAACTGACCAGAAAAACACCTTCCATTACGTGGAATGAATTAAGATGACATACCTGATTCGTCCATTGCGGGTCATATATATATGGAACTCGTCTGTCAAGCGATCAACTTGTTCAGGCGTCATTCCACTGTAGCAGAACATCCCAATCTGATGGAAGACAATAGGCATTGACCTAAAACTAGTCAGAAACAAATGACAATTGGTAGAAACTAACAGAGAGTTTTCAAACAATTAAGGCAGCAAAAAAAAGAAGAATTTGGATAATACATCAAAATACCTTTTAGAAGATGAGTTTTTTTTTTTCCTTTGGTTAGATGAATGCATAATGCAATATAATTTCTTTTGTGTGATTGATGCCCGATGATAAGATTCAGTAACCAAAGCTATGCAATATTCCAACAGTGGAACAAGAAATTCACTTTTAATATCTAATATAAGCTATGGAAACATATGAAGGTACTGTCCAAGGAGATCTCAGTGGTGCTTATGCTGTATGATATCTGAATTAGCTGATTGAGTGGAAGCCTAAGATAGTTTACAGTGTATTTCACACAGTGGAATCACCATTACTCCATACCTCCATTTAGATAACACATTGGTAACTGGCACAATTACCAAATGTCACCCACAAAAGCACCATAACATAACCATCATCCTACAAACATCAACGAAACCTCTTCAAATTGGGTTAAAAGCTACCAGCCATATGATGGTAAGAACATTATTTAATATGCCATCTGTATAAATTAGAAACTTGTCAGTTTCTGGTCATGATTCTCTCCCACCTAGCAAACTCCAGCATCAAAGCCATAATGGAGTTTGCTTTCCGAGGGTTCTTGGTGCAGGCCATAGAATATCATCTATTCCAATTCAAATGTATTTAAAAGCTGACGATAAATTTTACCTGGTTTGTTATATGCTCCCAAGACAAAGGCGAACCCAACTTCTCAAGGTTTTCTCGAAGTGCTTTACGCATTCCAATGATACGGTCAGCCATACCCTGAAATGATGATGAGGATGATGCGGTAATCACACAATTTCTAAGTGTCCTTAGAAGGGAAAACAAACAGTAATTTTGATGATACAATAAATAGGTAATAACACACATGAATGAGAAATTTGAAAGATAAAGAGAAATAAGGAATAAGTTAAGTTCTTCAATCACCTTAACCTCCTTCAGCCACAGAGATTTCAGCTCTGGATCACCTAGGATTATGGAAACAACTAGTGCACCATGAACAGGAGGGTTACTATACATAGGCCTAGCTAGCTGTTGCAACTGACTCTTCACAGCTACTGCTTGCAATTCATCTTCACAAAGGATACTGCAGCCAGAATATGAAACCAACTTATGGCACTAAACCAAAAAGTAAAATTCATTTCTAACGACATAACTAGTGAATAATTGTTTATCAAACACTCATTCTCTCTTTTTTTTTTTTTGGTGGATTGGCTACGGAAAAACAGAAAATACAGGAAAAGGCACACAAGATGATAACACATGAAAAAAGCTGAAAACAACAGTGAGTAGCTTGAGCAAGATGGTGAAAAAAGATTCAATCTATTCATATATTAAATAATTTCAGTTTTAAAACATCATTAGGAAGTTTCTAGAAAAAGGAAGAAATAGAGTTTCTTCAGATTTCATGAACAGAAAGTTATCGTGAAAGTAACATTCAACGCTGAGATTTTGATGTAGAATGCTTTCTAGAAAAGGATTGCTGATCATAGACAACTTTCTCATCACCTCATGTACAAAATTTCAGAGATGTTCTATGTCCCACAACATTCAGAAACTGTGAATTATCAGTTGTCACATCACCTTTACGCATCTTAACATGTATAATTGTTTTTACAGAAAATTTTACCTTCTGGATAGAGATAAACCAGGACTGGCAATTGGTCTATGGAATGGAAAGATTTATAGGCATGCAGGACCTTTTTTGACTTTACCATGGAGGAATGCCAGCTTAAGTGAGCAACTGGCCATCCTAGATAGGGAGCAAGAGCATGAGCAGCAAATTTGGGGGAAAAACAATGTTTCCACTGCTTCTGCAAAACAGTTTGAAATGGTTCCTTAATTTTGTGTATAAATGATCAACTAAATTCTAAAATTTTGAATCACCATCTACTGTTATTAACAAAAATACCATTCTACTAATTCCGACAGAGACAGGCATTTAGCATTCTATATTTTATTATGGTTTGTTTTCAATATGTTTTTGTTCTGCATACTGGTAGGGATCTTTTAATTCCCTTATGCCAATTGGATGGATTCCTCAAAAAACAAAAAACGACAACTTCCAAACATGAGATGAACCAGAAAGTAACAATTCAGGCATGAGAAAGAAGACAAAATCTAAATGCAGAAAAATATATTTGAGAAAGAAAGTATAAGTGTAAACCTAGAGTGAATTTATTTAAAAAGATTCTGCTTGAAAATATATGTATACTTGCATAGCTTTTCTGGGAATGATTAGAGTCATGGCTCCTTCACAGCATTGTTGCTTGTATTAACCTCGGTTTCTCTACAATATTACCTATTATTGCTTATATGGAAAACAAACTATAGCCACATAACTTCAAGCGAGCTGATGATTCGATTGTTTATGGATAGGAACCAACTTAATTTCTCAAAAACAAAATAAGTACCTAAGGCACCCAACTCTTTGCCCATACAGTCCCATATTTTTTGCATACGACTGAGCACAACCAATGAGGTGTCCATCTTCAAGGAAAATTCGAATTGCTTTAGCATCTCTATTTGGATCGCCACTAGCAAAACCTTGGTATGCCATGTCAAAGAAGGGGAAGTGGTTCTTAACCTATCAAAAAATAGACAAACATTTTATCATGATATGTCTAAATAAATTCCATTATAATGGCCAGGAAAAGGGGATTGAATACCTTGAACTGATAAGATATCTCTCTCCACTGTTCTTCAGAGGGATCCACCCCTGTTGGATTATGTGCACATGCATGAAGCAAAAAGAACGAACCATTTGGTGCATTCTAGATGAAATTCAGGAAAACAATATCAGAATTTAAACTAGAATATTGGCATCCGTGTGATTGGGTATTATAAAAGGTCACTCAAACTGAATAACAGAAAATATTAATGCTTATCATACAATAACACAGAAAAAAAATTTATGGTTTCTGAATCAAAAGTTAGTACAACAGGCACAAGCAAAGCTTGAAACAAGAACATCTTAAGAAGCACAGAATGCTAAAATGCACAAAAGCAGAACACAAAGTCAAAGAAGATGTCAAGGAAGTTCAAATTTAAATCTTCATGAAGGGTGAGACAGAATGATTCTTTTTTCCTGAAAAATTTTACTAAGAGTATTTGTACTTAAAAAGCCTAGATGAGAACAGTGAGAGCAAAAATGCAAGGTCACTTTGGAAACAATTGTATAAATTATAATAAGCAATGACAATAATTTTCATCACTTAATGAATTGAATCGAAAAGAATGCACAATTATTTCTAGTACACTAGGGGTCTGTTCTGTGATGTAAAGCCAATTCCAAGACAATGCATAATTGACTAGAGTACCTTGATGTCATCCATCATGGATGCAAAGTCGAGTCCCTTTGTTTCAGGATGGTAGTAACGGAAAGTCCTTTGAGGTACACAAGCATCTCTCCATATGTTATGGTGGCTGCAAAACAACAGTAGCAAGAGTAAGATTCTGAAGTAAGTGTAAGTACCATAAAAAATAAACACATGTCAACCCTGGATGCTCCCTGATCATGTTCACACAACTAAATTCATACTAAAGGATGAATGACAAACAGGGAATGAAAACAGAAACTAAATGAACTCAATAAAACTCACTTAGCCCAAGTTGGTATTGGTATATAAATCTGTGTGTCTGGTAAGAAACGCTTCTGGAAGTCAGCAAAAAGCCGGCAGGCACCTGTTCCGGAAAGAGCCTGAACAGCTGCGATCCTTTTCTCTTTTATAAGCTCAGAATCCTCTCCATAAGCAAGCTTCAATGACTCCTCAATCATCTTAATGCTTCCTCCCATTGGAAGATATTCCCTGAAACAAACATAAGAGTCACTATATTGTTCAGCATACAAAGAAATGATTATATCTTGGAACAATCACAGACCCACTGAATGCTACGCAGCTGAAATTACCGATCGTCATAGAAAAATATACAGATTTAACCTTAAAGTAAAGAGAAGAAAATCACAAACTAAAATAATGCAGTTAACAATATTTCAACAGTGAGACAAGCCAAATGTAGTGTCAAAATCAACTAAAGTTTGACCATGATGATGTAGTTGTAAAACTAACCATTTTCAACCAATAAGGAATTCTCTAAGATATACCAGAAAAAGTCATTTAAACACTGAATTTTATGTATTTGAACATACGCCATTCTCACATACTAACAAAGTCTAGGTGTATATCTTCAGCCATAACATGTCATACTAACAGAGGGAATGGTGTACAACTGTGACTTTACACCAACAGAGCATATCTTGTCAGGTTTTTGAGACACATTAGCCATTATAGATGGACAAACTGGACCCTTTTTTTCTCTTTTCAGATCAAGCATAGATGGATCTCACTTCTCTTTTGGTAGCTTATGTTCAGATCCAAAGCAAGATGTGGATTTAGGGAAATGGAAAGGTCACTATGGAACTTTTGCTTCATTGGATAGGATTAGAGAGTGTTAGTGTCCAAATTTAAGTTGATCTCTTTCTCACCAACTTAAACCTTTGGGAACCTTTGGGATAAGTATGAAAAATAAAATCTTATTATGGTAAATATTTCATGAGTTCAAATCATGGCTCTCGCCCTGGGACTTCAGCAGTGGATTTGTGCAACTGTTATCAGTCTTGTTTAATCCAGATTAAACTTTTGGGATAACTGATAACCCCAACTAAAATCTCACCAGGGTGGAGGCTAACAAATTGCAAAGGATACAAAAGTGGCATTGGATGGTTTTTCTCCTACGAAAGTTCTCAAGAATTATTTCCTCCATTTGTTTCCTTTTTTATTTTGAGGTGACCAACAGAACCCACAATGTTGAGTGTCACACAACAAAGTACAATCATAAGTAATGCTTCCCGCACTGATTTGACAAACACACAATCAAACACCAACAACTTTGAACAAAAATTAGGTGATGATGTTGTAAACACAAAAAAGTGTTGGTCTTTGACAAAGTGGATGTATCAAGAATATTTCCCTTCACAGCAGACAGCTGGCATAAGTGTTGATTTCATGAAATCAATATTTGCTGAAAATTACCGAAGCTTGTTGAAAAACCTAGTCATAATAAACTCCATGATCATTTGCCAAGGAACAACTTACAGTTTTTTATAAGCAAGTATAACAATGCATTCCCCTGCCATGAGGCAGAAATCTAACCAGTTACAGATTATTTACATTTCAAAATATTGGGTTGTAGCTTACATGTTTCACTTAGCAGTACTTCATGGAGCTAACATTACACAAGACACACAAGTTATCCCTCAAGAAAGGTTGTGATTACTACATCACCAACATAACTCAATTTCATGCATGTGCATAAAAAATCATCAAATAGTCACACAACATGGTAGGTAGATGACGGCCAAATCAAGCGACACCACAGATTCCAAAAACTACAGGGCATAGTGGCATACAGGTAAACCAACAAAAATGCGGAGAAGAAAGAGGACTGGATTCCCATGGGACCGCAGCAAGTTGCTAAGAGAAACTTTTGAGGAAAATTTGCAAGTAAAATGGCATAACACTAGTACACGAAATATAAACGAAAAAAAAATAGCAAAAGAGAAAATCTTCGAAGAGTATAAATAGTTCATATATATGCAAAGCAACAAAAGAAAAAGTGACAACTTTTGGATATATCTATGAGGCATAATACAAAGTTAAGTAAGAAAGTAAGGAATAAAGAGAGATCACATGTTAAGGTTTCCGGCAATCCTTCGTTCGGCTTCCCTGACGCATTCAAGAACCACCGGCTTCCCGTTGTCATCACGGTAAGCTCCCTATACAAAAAGGTCAAAAGGGTGACATCGTTAGTTTCCTATCAATAAAACCAGAATCTTCGAAACCATCACCAACAAAATGGGGAGAGTGCTACGAGATCAAAAACAGGAAAGGATGGGAAGAGAGGACAGACCACTCCGACATTGACTTTGTCGGGGCTGGGATCGGCAAGGAACGCCTCGGTGACCCCAAGGATGGGGTCCTTGGCCGCGGGCTCCACGTGCCCAAACCAGGAAGCCATGGATCGAGTACCGATCGTCGCCATCACCGGCGACGGAAGGATCCCTCTCCTTTTCAGGATCTCTCGGCTGATCGCGGCCATGGACCTCTATGCAGTCTTCTCCCTACGTATCGAAAAGGAGAGTGGAGGAGAAGGGAGGAGGTCAGGAACCGACAAGTAGAGCGGCGCGTCAGCGGCGGAAGAGGGGAAGGATGGCGAAGCGAGAAGAGGGGAAAGCGAGCGGGTTGAAGAAGAAACCGCCCTCGGGTTTTAGCACTAAACCCATTGAAAATTTACAGAACTGCCACATCGGATGCACTTTTGATAGGCGTGTAAGACTCGCCCACAAATATATCTGCGCTGTGGTTGGATGAAGAAACCGGCTCCCAGGTGGGTCCCCGTATCTTGCAATCACAGATAAGGTGGCCGTGAGCTGATAGAAAAAGTATTGCGCTTACGGCACTCTCTCGAGGAGATGCGCCCAGGGAAGTGCGTGTCCGACTCGATCACCGCTTGCACAAATAACTACGTAATTAGAGAATATTTTTATTAATATTTCGTAGAGGTGTAAAAAAAACGAACCGAGAATCAGAACCGATTTATCAATTTTTTTAAAAAAATATATAAATAATACTGATTTGAAAGTATAAATAATCGTTAACCTGATTCGTTAGTTTGTTTGTTATATTTAGTTCATTGTGTTCGAGCGCAAGCGGTAATGATCCATCATCGATCTATCCCTTGTATCATCGAGAGATGCATATTCGATCTAGATCAACCTAAGTTAGATAGAATCTTTATCACTATGTTGGAACAATCGAATATGAGACTTTATACACCTTAAAGTTCATAGGACGAAAACGAATTATTTTGAGATATTGTCGGATGGGGTTGGGTTTCCCGACCTCCCCATCTCCTCCCAACCTGATCGGGTTTGTTGATCTCCACGACTCAGGTGAATGAGGGAATCAGGTTTCCCAACCCCCATGCCTTGACGAAGGTTAAAATCAAAAGTCGGGTTTCTTAACCTCCCAACCTCGAGCGAGAGTCAGGTTTTTTGATTTTCACATCTCAGGTGAAGGTGGGGGTTAGATTTCCCAACTTCTATATTTTCGGCAAAGATGGGGTTTGGGCTTCCTAACTTTTACGCCTCAATCTTTAGTGAAGACGGGGGCTTCCCACCATCCATGCCCTAGTGAAGGAGGGTGTCAGTTTTTCAACCTCTCATTCTTGAGCGAAGGTAGGGTTTGCATCTTTTTTATTATTATGTAGATGCCTCGTTTCTACTCGAGGTGCTCATATCTTTTTTTTCAATTTATGAGCTTTCAGGCTAATGTGTTACATTGGGCAATGACTTACCCATCTCGAGTAAAGGAGGGGTCAACATTTTATCTCTCTACATTGGGCATTTTTTCCCTTGTATCTCTCGTCGTAGTGGACTCGCTCTTATACATGTCTCGAACATATCTTATCTTAACTCTTCCACCATGGCAAGTCTTTTCTTATTATGATTGGGTTTTTCTGACTTATATGACTTTGGCATAGTTTTTTCTTATCAAGTGTTTTCTTATTATGATTGGGTTTTTCCGATTTCATCAATCGTGATCAATTTTTTTATATGCGAGTTGGGTTTTCTTGACTAATGCGTATCAAGTATATTTTGTCTTATACCTCCCACTATGATAGGTTTTTTATTATGCAGGTCGGGTTTCCCTAACTCATACGCTTCGACCATATTATGTCTTATGCCTTTCATCATGGCGAGTTTCTTCTTATATAGGTCAGATTTTTCTAAGTCATATGCCTTAAGCAAATTTTATCTTGAGATTCTTATCATGGCGAGTTTCTTCTTATACGAGTCAGGTTTTCCTTTCTCACGTATGTTAGATATATTTTATCTTATGTCTCTCGCCATGACAAGTTTTTTATTACGTATAGGTCAGGCTTTCACAACTCATGCACCTCGGGTATATTTTGTCTTATGCCTCCTACCACGATTGGTTTTTTTTCATATTTTTTTAGGTGGTCTTCGCGCATCGATCACTTTTGTACTTTCTGAGATTGTTGTCACACAATGATCACTTTTGTACTTCCTAATGTAATCTTTATACACTAGTAATTTTGCACTTTTCAAAGTGCCCCTTTGTCTTTTACTTATAGCGTCATCATTATGTCATAACCTTTCTTGATCGCGTATGGGACGTCGACTTCATCATTTATCTCATCAATAGTCCCTCGAGTTCAACAATTACCACGAGAAGATATAGGGGCTGAAGAGAAAAAAATGAGACCCACTACTTATCACTGAGGCAGAGGCTCGAGGAGTTAAGCTAGCGAGGTAACTCAAAGAACTCGAGCAATGCCTCATTGAGAGGTGGGTTCAATGAGGGCATATAACTCTGAGCTATATAGTAAGTTGCAAGGTTTCAAGATGAGGTGATCTTTATCTTGTCTTATAAGGCGTTGGTCTTTATTGAATCATCGAGTCTGCCTACACAACTTAGTCGCTATGTCTTTTCCTTGCTACATCGTCAGGCTTATCCATCATAGCAGTCTCTATCTTGGTAAGTCAATGTTTCATTTTGGATGTGCAGACTCAACTGAGTTGGTGTAATTTTTTGAAATAATAAAACTTTTTACCTTAACTTATAACACCTATACTCCCAAAATCTAGTTGGGTCGCTAACTTCAGCTTTCTAAAGCACCAAGTCTTGTCTAGAGTTGCTTCAATTATTAACTCCACTAGCTCAAAATGCAGGATGAACTTGGTGAAGTCTTAGGGGTCCATAGGTGGCACCTCAGGTCGAACCCTCTTTGGTAGGGAGTTCGCCGTCAAGTAGCACTTGCATGACTCCCTTGTGTTGCTTCTCATCTCTCTAATGTTTTGGAGTAAGCCTCATCTCTAAATGTGATATGCAGATTCATGGTCTCGAGAGACGAGATAGAATCGCTAGTAAACCCCACCAACAAAGAAGTCATAGGGGTAAGGTCATTAATTGATAACTCGAGTTTTTGAAAAGTATCAAACTAAAGGATATCAACAGAGCTACTTGTGTCAATCATGACCATCAATAGAGGTAAGTCCATCAATAATGACGTCAATTTGTCTCTTCAGCCAACTCCTGAGGTGGAGGTGAGGGTTCTCGATGCTTTTGGACGAATCGCCCGAGGTGTCCATGACGTATGAGTTCATCAATCTGCTATTTTATATTGTAACAATCCTCCGTGTCATGACCATAATCCCAATGGAACTGATAGTATTTGGACTTATCTATTTTTGAAAATTTATAGGGATAATATTATTATATGAAAAATTTATAGGGATAATATTTTTCTATTTTAATATTATGTATATTGATAGAAAAATAAGTATACATATTAATTGATCACTTACGATAAAATCATCTAGGTCAAATCAATTATGAAATACTAATTGACCATCTGGTCTGTATACATTATTACGCTTTGATGAGATCGATCAGAATTATATTAGTGCATCTTAGAGTCATTTAATTTTGTTTTTTTAGATTTTTTTTTCTTCGCACTCAGCTATTTTAATAGTCGCCATGGTTCTCAAGAAACGTCTACGGCAGCTCAAATTATTGACTCGGATGAGGCGGTTACCGCAGTCTCAGAACCCAAACAAACCAACGCGTAGAAGGTGGGTCCCCACGTCTACAGCCAATCAGTGTTGCGTGAACAAAGAGAAATAGGAGGGTACACATGAGGTGTCACAGCCAGTTGGTGGGCCTTCTCATTGTTGTGATCCAAATCATACCATCCATCAATTAATTGGTATTCCAGTCCTCGGATCACTGATGCGATCCAACGGATGACATCGCTCATCTATCTACATCTCAACATCACCCACTTCCTCGAGGGACTCGACTACCATTTCTTTTCTCTCCTCAGCTGCCGGTCTCACCAACTCCCCACACAAACAGACGCTTGCTTTTTCTTCCGGAGTCCTTCATTTTCCTCCTAATTTCTTTGTCGGCTTCCCTCACAGTTCCCGATGCCCGTCGAGTACGAGGGATGACAACCGCCTCGGTAACCGCGGCCGTGTTGATCGCGGTGAGGCCCGCGGAGGCGGAGTGCTCCGACCGGGGGGGCGGCGACGGGCTGGGGGGGGAGGGGGAGGCGGCGGCCTCGGAGCCGCCGAGACACTCCGTCGTGGCCATCGATGTCCCGGGTGTTGGTCCAGATGTAGATGGGGCCGGTGATGGGAAGAGTGAGGCGGAGAAGGTGTGCAGGATCTGCCATTTGAGCTCTGACGTTGGAGGACTGGAGGTGCCGAACTTGATCCAGCTCGGGTGCGCGTGCAAGGGGGAGCTCGGCGGCGCGCACCGCCGATGCGCCGAGGCTTGGTTTCGGGTGAAGGGTAACAGGTACTCTCTGAAACTGTGCATTTCGTGTGTCCATTGATATTGCACGGAAGATGTTTGCAGAAACTTCAAGTGAGAGATGCAGTTCTACGAGATCTAGATTGATTGAGATCAGATAGATAGTACATATGGATCAACGTTACCAAGATAATAAATAAGCTAAACAATTTATAAGGACCGTATAAATTTAGTCGTGCATCTCTGCACCTTCCAATCTTCAATCTCACACCAAATTTCGTTGAATTTGATGCTCTTCTCTACATAACACCCTTTACATCTTCTGCTCTTAGTCTTTCATAGTTTGAGATCCATGCAAATTGTTGTTGCCTTTGAGATCCCTTTGTGGTGCTACTGAGGAGCCCAAACAATTTAGTTGCCCATGCATAATTCTATGATATTTGATCTTAAAAAGAAATAGATATCCACCTTATAGTAAATTCCAAAATTTTTTTAATATGTGAACCATATATCATCCAAGTCAGTATGCTCATGTTTGATCTGCAACTAGTCAGGTTTTAGTTTCATCATTGGAGGAAAGATTATTGTCTTGGGCTCAAATAAGACGGTGTCAGCTAATGACTGATAAAAACTTTGACAGTTTAACATAATATCTTGGACTCAAATTCTATCTTCATCATTTACTTTTTATTAAAAAAAAAAGATAAAGAGAAATTATTGTCTCTATACTAATTATTCATTGAAAAAAAAGGAAAGATTATTGTCTCAATACTAATCATTATATGCTTGTTATTGTCCACTATAAATATTTTCATGACTTGTGGTTTAAGAATATTTTTCTTTCTTTTGCTACACTATATATAACTTTGTTGTGCTTCCAAGTTAAAAAAATATGTTTCTGTGCTTGCATTGAATTTATTGGAAAATAAGTTGTTTATTTCTCTATTCTTTACATTTATAAGGTTATTTATACAGAAGTCGATATTCTCATATTTCGATTGTCTAAACTTCCTTGTACCTAAAAAATGTTCTAGTGGCATCATAGAAGATGGAACTTACTGTAGTACCAGTCTAGTGCCAATTGGGGGAAAGAGACTGGAGTTCTCTAAGTGCATGGTCATGACCGCGAGTCATTCTTCACATATAAGTTTAATAGAAAACATTTCTCATGCTTAATGCACTGTCATGAGAAAATGTTGGTCTAAAGCTTCGTCAATCAACAGTTGCAATGTGTTCACGTTCTTAAGACTTTCAACCATGTCACTTCACATCTGTCTATAGCATATCACTAGCAAACCCCAACCGCTTTTATAATCATTGGCAATCACATGTGATATCTTTCTCAATTCTACCCATCGTTTACATTGTAAACATATCATTACCAGATTACTATAATGCCTTGTTGAAAATAACCTCTTCTTCAAACTTCTTTTTGCCTTTTATTCTCCCTGCTTCCCCAATGCATTTCCCACTTTGTTCAACCCTTCCCTTTCACCTAAACAATTTCATCAGTTGATTGATAATGAAGGGTATGATGGATTGACTGTTTCTGGTAATTGAGGGATGAATACCACGGATTAACTTTGTTAGCCATGAAAGGATGGGGGAAGGGACGTTGGATTGACTGTATTGGTCACCAAAGGATAATGATGATTTTGGTGGGTATAATGGATTTCGACTGTGTTGGCCACTAGGGGTTGGAGATGAGTTTGGTAGTAATCCCTGATAAATCAAATAGGGAGAGTTATAGACAATGCGGTAGATTGCTGTGATGTCAACTTTCTAAACACAATGACCAACCAGAATTATCATGCACAATCCAAGGTTCTACTATTTTTAATTAAGAATTCAGACTTTTGCAATGGAATATATTTATAGCATTTTTCTGTGTGGGTTTTGAAACTTGGTTGACCATATTACTACCCATGTTTCATGTGTTATATTGTGCTAATATGCATGTTAGTATTTGCGTTGGGTGCAAGTGGATGATCACCTCAACCAGTATCCATGTCCTGCTGGAACTTCCTTTAGTTGACCATTATTGTGTTAGATGCTTCTTTGATATATCTCCACTCATACACTGTTCTTCTTTTTGTGCTTCTCCCATTGCCACTCAGTTCGCTTAGAACCTTTTCTTGGTATATTCTCCTTTTTTTTCTTTGCACTTCTGCCATCAGTCCCAAATAAATTTTGCTGTTTCTAACGAATAATCATTCCAACCTTTTGATTACTGTTCAGATATTGCGAAATTTGTGGTGCAAATGTGAAAAATGTAAATGGGGATGAAGACGGTAATTTCATGGAATCATGGAACGAGGGGAGGATGTTGGGCAGGAGCCATAGAAGCTCAACTGAGATGAACAGTTGCTGGAGAAGTCAACCATTTTGTAATTTCTTGATGGCTTGCTTGGTGGTGGCATTTATTCTTCCATGGTTTTTCCACATAAATCTATTCTGAATTTGCTCTACCCACACTATTGATTGGTCAAAGGAGATGTCGAGATCTCTCCCAGCCGGTGAAAGGCTTTCTGGCCGGTGACAAGCAAAAAAATGGTCGTCAAGCATGTTTATTTATCGTATGCAATGTGGTCTACGTTGTTGTTAGTCCCTAAGCATTTAAAGATGATTTCTTCTAAGTTGAAGATGCTTCCTAAAGCTTCATTCTGTGTCTTATTGAATATTGGAACATTTCCCGAAGGATTTTGGTTGTTTTCTAGAGGCATAGATGTCTGTCTTTTAGTCATCAAGGAAATAGAAAGCCATACTAACTTCAACAGCTTATTTCATGTTCGTCAACTGTTGGTTGCTCATAGTTTATTTAGTTGCGCAAACTCACGTAGTAAGAGCTTTTGCTGTAAGATACCGAGGCGCCTAAATATCTAATGTGCAGTCGGTGCATCGTGCAATAGGACGATTAGAATTAGACTGAATTCATTGCCAACCACTACGAAACACAAGTTGTATTTGCCATCTAAGATTACTAGGAACTAATGCAACTTATAGAACCAAAATGTAGTTTTACTAGTTCCTTGTGGATGAGAATGCTCAGAAACAGGTAGAAAATTTGGAAAAGCAAATAAGGTCCATGGATCAACGGAACTCTCGCTGGAAGGAACAGGCAAAGCAAGTTGGAAGAATTGATTCTAAGATAATTAGGAATCTTAACCAGTGGTTGTTTGGGACTTGTTAAGAATAACGCCTTCGTATTTGACCTGGAACCACTTCATGGCATCATCCTTGGTAACCCTATGCTGGATTCCAACACGCGACTTGCATCGGCGGCGACGGGCCACACGATAACCAGCACGTTCCAAGACCACAAAGAAATCCATGCCATAGATACCTGTGGACGGGTCGTACCTACAAAAGTAACATAGATACTTATTATACGATACTTAGCAACTGCAATCAGCACTGTTGTTCAGGGAGAAATAAAAAGCTATTCCGATTCTTATTATACGATACTTATTATAGAAAAGCAACTGCAATCAGCACTGTTGTTCAGGGAGAAATAAAAAGCTATTCCGATTCTTATTATACGATACTTAGCAAAGCAACTGCAATCAGCACTGTTGTTCAGGGAGAAATAAAAAGCTATTCTGATTCTTATTATGCACGCTGAAAAAACTTCACATGGCTCCCTGGGAATCCTCTGAAAGGTCATATGCATGCAGAAAAGTTCAGCTACCCATATAATGTAGTTCCTGGATCAGACTAATGCACACAACATACAAAATAATGAATCATGCACATGGAAATTTCGCAACGAGCTTTTTGCAGTATTCTTATTTGACGATTTCTCCAACACATCCTAAAACCTCATTCCGGAGAAAAAGAATCTTATTTTATATAAAGAATAGGGAATTTGGATAAAGAGCTTTAAAAGACCAACATGGGGATGTTATATAGGGAAGTTAGAGAAAAAGCTCAGGTTTACATGATTTCAAATGCTGTCGATCCACAATTCTAAAGGAAAGTGGCATAAGATATTGTTCCTTTTTCAATCTGTTTCATGACTTTCCACAGCCATTCTGTTTATTATTGTTTGGATGATAACGATTTCATCAATGCTGGACAAAAATCATTTATGCAACAAGTGATAGAGTCTCACAACTAGGTTCAATAATCATCATCCTTCAAGAACAAAAAAAAATGTCATACCGGCAAGTAATACAAAGATGTCATGTGCCCTTTTTTTTTCATTTTATATTCTCGCTAGCGAGAAACTCTAAAGATCTTATATCTTCAAGAAAACTGACTTAATCACTTCTCATCCCATCTGTGTTCCTAAACAAAGCTTAATGCTAAGTTTCATGCTACTACAGTTGCTAAGACTTCAATAAGATTAAACTTCAGGTAGATGTGAAGGTCAAAGATCTTTAACTCATCGTAAGGAGCGATGAGCTCTTGTCCCGGTGATGGTGTGCATGACAGTTATATAGTCCGACCCAGAGTTCTTGAGACACAAGGGATAAGATTAATAGAGATATTGTTGCAGGTTAATTCTTATACTACAAAGCATCTCATGATATAAGAACTGAAGGACACACCCCATCGAACCTCACATTCAGATCTTTCAAACTAAAAGAATGTAAATAATATTCAAAATTATGTGAAAAGAGGCAGAGGGTTTATCCAATCTTACTTGATTCCAAGATCAATGTGTTCTTGTATGCCGAAACCAAAACAACCAGTGTCACTGAAGTTTCTTCTCAGAAGCTCATATTCCTTCACTTTCAGTCCACTCTCCAGGAGCTGCATCGCCTTGTCACCCCTGACGGTGACATAGCACGCAATCTTTTCGTTGCGCCTGATCCCAAATGACCTAACAGTGTATCGTGCTGCAGCAAGAACAACAAGTTCCAGGAATCACGAACAAGATCGAAGCTTGCAGCCAAAGAAGAGAAGAAGGAAAGTACCCTTCGAGAACACCGGTGTTTGCCCGCTCAATTGCTCTAACACCTGCAAATGATAGGAAAAGGAGAGAATAAGGAGCCCCGCTCCAACGAATTTGGAGTTGGCAGCGTACAAAACCTCCGCCATTCAGTAGTAATCGAACAAATCAAAGTCGTGTCGAAGAGGAACTGAAGCGGAAGATGAATCCGAACGCAGATCCAGTACCTTGGCGGCCCTAGTGAGGCGGTCACCGCTCTCACCGACGGAAATGTTGAGGACGAGCTTCTGAACCTTGATCTCCCTCATTGGGTTCGACAGCTTCTTCTCCGAGGCCTGCAAAGAAGAAACGGGACAACGACGCCATCAGCGAACAGATAAGAAGAGAGCGAAAGCAAGGGGAGAGGAGGAGGAGGGGGAGGATGGGCGGAAAGCATCGACCATGGCAAGAGATTGAGAGGCGTATGGCGGCGGCGGCTGCTAAGTCCAGGCTCGGTGGAAGAAGGCACGAACCCCCTAAATGGTGTTCGCCAACGGTGATCGTAGATTTAGGGTTTTCGCTGGCTATTTTAGGGGGTCGACTGAAATGACGAAATTACCCACAAAAAAGAAAAGAAATGATTTGTCATTTCCGAGATCGAAATATACCAAATTGCTTCCTCTGTTGTGACTCGAAGCTCAGGTCTCCCAGAGAACCAGTAGAAGCAGCAGCAGAAGAGGAAGAGAGGAACAACCTACGACACACATGGCCGAGCCTCCGCCACCCTCCCCCGGCGGCGATGACGACGCGTCGAAGGACGCCGCCATAGCGAAAGTGGCCGGGTTCGTCGTCTTCTCCGGCATCGCCATGAACATCATCAGAGCCTTCTCCCCCAAGCCCCTCGAGCCCCAAGCACCATCTCCGCCGCCACAGTCGCCGACACCGTCGACCTTCCGAGAGATCTCCTCAAAGGTGAAGCCTTTAGTTACATTTTCTCCGAACCAAGCAGGGAATCTGGAACTCCTTTTCTTCTTGTGAATTCTGGTTCTCAGGAAACGACAGCAGACGAAAGATTGGGATCGAAGCCGTCCTCTGGTCGCGAGATCGCGATCGTGAAAGGAGATACCCTTTGGGGTCTCTCTCGAAAATACGGCGTAATCTTAATCACTCTCCCCTCTTTCTTCCTCGAGGAAAGTCGACGTTTTTGAAGGATCCGCAGCTGAAATGATGCTTCTTGGGTGCTTCAGGTGTCGATCAACGCCATCAAGGAGGCGAACGGGATCCAAGGAGACACCATCTACGCCGGAAAGAAGCTGATCATTCCATAAACTGCTTTCCATTAATCCGTGTCTGGGATTTCAGCTTCTTGTACCATGTTGCTTGCTGGCATCTCAAGAACAAGAAGACATGTATCGTGGATGATTAGCTGATCTTTTCTGTTACTGTTTCTGATGGAATCTTCTTTTAGTTCGGTTTCATATCTAATTGGCATCTTTTTCATCGAGGATGCATCCACCATTGCTCAAATGAGATATCTTCACGATAGAAGTCACAAACTTCAAACCAAGAAAAAGATAAAAGATTTTATTCCATGCATGATTTTGATTCCAGAAGAAAAGCGTTAAGAAAATAGTATGTTGAAAAAGTTTTACACGTTCCAACGTGATCCAGATTCATATGCACAAGGTTACTTAACGTGTCTCTACGATGGAAACATCGAGCTTTTGAAGTGTCGCTTATACGAAGATCGAGGTTAAAAAAAAATTAATCTAATTCATTCGACGTTTAAGTTAGTAACTTGAAACATATAAGTGTAAATGCAAGTGATCATAAAAGGTAATTCATATTTTCATTTATGTTGAAGATAAATTTTTATTCCTGATCGTAAAGGGATAAAATATTTTATATAATATTCAGTGGGGAGGAAGTCTCTAATCACCTCTAATAGCATCCCCTTAACCTCTTGTCCATGTGGGTGACAAAGGGATGGGCAACTCATAATCATCTGTATTAGACTTTTGTCCGTGTTGGCAAATGGGTGAAGGGTAGCCTCCATCTTCTCCTTCCATCCTGGCTCTTTGCTTGCATCTCTTTTTTTCTTTTTTAATTTATAGGCTTCCAGGCTAGTGGGCTACATTGGGTAATAGCCTACACATCTCGAGTAAAGAAAGGGTCAACATTCTACCTTCTTGCTTTGGACATTCTTTTCTTTATGTCTCTCGTCGTGGTGGACTTAATCTCATGTGGATCGGGTTTTACCAACTCATGTGCCTTAGGCACATATAGCTTTGTGCCTCTCGTTATAGCGGGTTTCTTTAAACTAAGGTCTGGTTTTCTTGACTTGTGTGACTCGAGCATATCTTATCTTGTACTTCTCACCATGACGAGTTTCTTATTATGAGGGTTGGGTTCTCCCGCCTCATGTGCCTTGGGCACATTTTGTATTGTACATTTCATTATAGTAGGTTTCTTATTATGTTGGTTGAGTTTTCTAACTCACGCATCGCGGGCATATTTTATCTTATGCCTCCTATCATAATGAGTTTCTTCTCACATAGGTCAAGTTTTTCTAACTCACGCGCGTCAAGTATGTTTTATCTTATATCTCTCGTCGCAGCAGATTTCTTATTACGCGAGTCGAGTTTTTCCGACTCACGTGTCTCGAGCATATTTTGTCTTGTGCTTATTGTCATGGTGGGTTTCTTTTACGCTTTTCAAGATGGTCTTCGCACATCGATCACTTCTACACTTTCCAAGGTGGTCTTCGCACATTGGTCATTTTATGCTTTTAGATGTGGTCTTTTGTATTTGACTTATAGCATCATCATTATATCACAACCCTTCTTAACCACGTACAGGATGCTGACTCCATCATTCATCAGCAATCCCTTATGATTGACAATCCCCACAAGGAGGTAAAGGGGTTTAAGAGGAAAAGGGGAGACCCTATCATTAAGATAGAAGCTCGAGGAGTCGAGCTGGCGAGGCAACTTGAAGAAGTCGTTCAATGCCTTGTCAAGAGCTGATTCGATTAACGCATATAACTTTAAACTCATCTTGTAAGTTGTAAGGTTTGGGGAGAAGACTATCCTTGTCTTGTGAGATGTTGGTCTTTATTGGGTCGTTAGGTCTGCCTACCCGATTTAGTCCTTATGTCTTTTCTTTGCTGTATCATTGAGCTTGTCCACCTGATTAATCTATATCTTGGTAGGTCAAGGTCTCATTTTGGATGTAGAGGTTTGACCGTATTGGTGTACTCGTTTAAAGTAATGAATTTTTTTTCCCTCAACTTGCAACACTTATACCCTGAAAAAAAAAAAAAAAAAAAAAAAATATATATATATATATATATATATATATATATATATATATATATATATATATATACGTAATAAGAATCGGATCGTGATGAGATCATGATAACGAGACCAATTCACCTTTAAACACAAACCTTAAATAATCCTAGTAATGTGTTACTCGAATGAGACATTGAGATAACCGAACATACTGGTATGCTGTATACTCGTTCGTATGATGGAGGTAGTTAGTCTCATAGTTGCTCGTGTGGAGACACTAAGGATACAGTGTATGTGCTCATTAGAGAATGAGTTCACTGGTTGATCCGCTCATAGAATACTATATGGTTACTGATGCCTTATTATCAAACAACGATTCTGTAGTCCCAGTAATATATTTAGTTCTTAGACTTGAAACACCAAGGTTGTCCTGTATGAGTACTCCACTCTTTGATACCAGACTTATAAGTTTGGAAGTTTTAGATATAGTACAATCAGTTATTGGGAGTGGTAGCCAACCTTACGAGGGCTATTGAATGTCGATAGAGGATCATTCGCTCTCGGTATCATGAGAGAAATATCCTATATATTTTTGCTCAAACAAATCCTTAGCCAAGGTCATTCGGATTGAGAGATAAAGAGTTTTATGGGAGAATACGATTAAAGCGAGACTCGAAGAGAAACCGTATGAGCCTGACAACACCATGCCCGGTATATGGTCTCTGAGATATTAGATGGATGGAGGACTATAGGTACATGACAGATAGGTCCAAAGGATTGAATTCCCTTGTATCGTTTGGGGACTACAGTGTAGTGGCCTAGTACGTCTACAATCGATAAGTCGAGTGAATTATTATGGAGATAATAATTCACTAAGGCAGAAGGAGTTATGACAAGTATGACTCACGACCAGCTCGATATTGGGCTTAGAGGGTCACACATATATGGTAGGTGTTGCGACGAGTAGAGGTTCAGATATGAGATATCCGCTAAAGCCTTATTTTATTGGATATCCAATAAGCCCCTGAATTATTGGATCCCATGGATGAGATCAAATAAGAGCTAATAAAAGATTACTAGGTAAAGACCCACTAATCTAAGAGGCTTGGGTAATTGGATAGAGATCCAATACCCAATAGGACAGGATTCATTAGGGTTAACTCTTGATCTCCTTCATCCACTCCTACATATCTGTAGGGATTCAGGGATATACGATCTCCCTATGTAACACAACTATCTATCTCAAATGTGGTTTTTCATTTCATAGATTTTACGCACCAATCTACGCACGATGACAAACATGTATTGGGAAAATTGGGTTTTTGTTTTATGTTCTTTCGTTGCGCATGTGATGTTGCCCCTATATTTCCCTACATGATCGCATTATTTACCTAGGAAATATCTACTACCATAAGTTTAGCCAGTATTATTTTTTAGTAAGCCTCATCTCCGAATGTGTTATGTTGGTTTATGGCCATGAGAGGCAAGATAGAGTCGTTAGTGAACCCTATCAACGAATAAGTTATAGGGGTAAGGTCGTTAGTTGATAGCTCAAGGGAACTAAATGCCCATAGGTTGAGGCTTCTTGGTTGCCACCTCTTATTTGAGGAGCGTCGTTGTAGCCCCGTTGTGTGGATCGCCGCTAAAGAATATGACTCTTGATCTCCTTTATCCACTCCTATATATCTGCAGAGATTCAGGGATATACGATCTCCGTAACACAATTATCTATCTCACACGTGGCTTTCTATTTCACAGATTTTACGCACCAATATATGCACGGCGACGAACATATATTGGGAAATTTGGGTTTTTGTTTTATGTTCTTTCGATGCGCATGTGATGTCTCCCCTAGATTTCCCTACATGATCGCATTGTTTACTTAGAAAATATCCACTACCGTAAGTTTAGCGAGTATTATTTTTTAGTAAGCCTCATCTCCGAATGTGTTATATTGGTTTATGGTCATGAGAGACAAGATAGAGTCGTCATGAACCCTGTCAATAAATAAGTTATATGGGTAAGGACGTTAATTGATAGCCCGAGTTTTTGAAAAGCATAAAAATAGAGGATATCAGTAGAGCTATCTATGTCAATCATGATCCTCTTCACCCAAGCATTAATCATTCAAATAGAAATTATCAAGACATCATTATGTTTCAAGTTAAGATACTCCATATTTTCCTTATTGAAGGTTACCTTCGGGTCATTCTTCATCCTCGGGCAGTTTTCAATGATAGCTTAGGCATAATACTTCCCTATTGTGTGGTCACCATCAGCTTGGATAAAAATTGAGCTAGCGAGTACGCGAATGTTTCGCCAAGATTGTTTACAGTTTAGACCATGCAACGGCAGCAGTCACACATGCAGAAATTAATGGAGCGATGGATCCAGCAACTGAGACTTGAATAGCTTGGAGGATGAAACGATCTTGACGCAGCCATAGTTTGTGAGCTGGAGGTAGTGGGTGATAAAGTCGGAGAGGTGAGAGAAGAAGCCCACATGCGTCGGAGGAGAGGTAAGCAGTTGCGTTGCCCTTTCCAACCGGACAGGAAAGAGGAGGAGGCGGCGGGAGAGGAATCACCAGTCTTCTATCTGCAGGGAGCAGTCCCAATGGCAAGGAATCTCATAGCGGTTCGGGTTGTGTGCCAGCAACTGTTGCTGGCCAGGAAGCAACCGCGGAGTTACGTCAAGGCAGAGAGGTTGGCGTCGGTTGTTGCTGGCCGCGGGAGCTTCGGTTCTTACTTTTCTTGTGAGAGAAATAGACGTCGTAGCTGGCGACGATGGTGAAGGTGATCGGCGAAGGGAAAGAAGGGCCGGAAGGGGAGGAACTGTAGTGTAGGAAGAAAGTAGTTCTTCCGACTTCCACACAGACACCTAGAGGAGCAACAGAAGGTTTCGGCAGAGCTACCTACATCCGCAAGGGAGATTGATACCATGTTAGAAAAGAGATAGAAAAAAAATTACTGAAGAAGTTTGAATGCACTAACAAGATTTCCTCATATAGTTGAAAAAATCTTATTTGCTATCATAAGTCTCTCACAACTCGAGGATACTCTAATTAAGATACTCTATCTTTTGACGATCGTTTCTACGATATTGAGCTCTCCTTCTAATATCAAAAATATTAAGGGAAGATGTTATTGATGTCTTGATCAGCCCAACATGATTCAGACCTATATGTGTAAGGTTTTTTGAGATGCTACCTATACGAAGATCGAGGTCGAGAGAGATTTCCTAATTCGATCACTCCTATGTTAAAATTAGTAATCCAACTTATATGAGTTTGGATACGATTGAGCAAAATAAGATAATCTCCATAATTATGTCAAAAATGAACTCTTATATTTAATCATAAAAAATAAAATATTTTATGAAATATTTGATGAGGAGATAACTTCTAACTATTTTCAATAATCTCTCGTCGATCTATTTTGAATGACCATATATGAAATTTTGGAGAGAATTTATAATTATCTATTTTGAATGTTCATATGAACCGACGGATGAGAGATGATTTTTATTTTTTATTTAGATTTTGAACGATTAGGTATCGGATGAAGATAACATGCGATGGAAATAATACATTATAACAATGATAAACTTCATCTAACTTGAATGAACGGATAAGCATGATAAGTTAAAATCCTGCGACAGCGACAACCAGAGATGCCGCGTAGCAGTGAATCCATCGACGCGCCTTCTAATGATTTGACATCACTTCCGTCCGTGTAAATTCTTCTAACTCAGTCGAGGCTTTGGTGGGACAGAACGCGGCAGTCATAGATAATATATTAGCGTATGAACCAGTCAAAGTGTGGATTCGGCTAATGCTTGATCTCCGCCAGGAAAACATTGTGACGAGTGACTCGAAGAATCTAAATTTCACGCCCACAGAAAGCAAGTGGGAGGACGAATTCCGTCGTTTGTCCCGTGTGGCCCCCGCTGGTATGGCCGTGATTCTGTAGTTTCTTTTGTTTTTGATGGTGGAGGAGGATGATCTAGTGGCGACTATATGTAATCCTGGCAATAGATTCGGGAGGGCCAAATCCAGAATGCATCTGACACAAATTGTGCAATATAGAACAAAAACATACATTATCTAAGATCCAAAATGCTATGTACAATTGCTTCCTAATCACGACATTATCTCAAAGACCACAGAAAGAAGAAAGAAGGCGGCGTTGGACAGAGGGATAGATTGGGAATTTGTGATGGATAGCGAGACTTCATCGGACGGTGGAAGCGACCGCGTGCGCCCAGCTCCTGAGCTGGCCCTTCAGGTCTGCCCCGGCGACGCCCGCCGGAATCAAATTCATCAACAGCCTCTCCTCCGGCTTCGCCTCCGCCACCTCCCATGCCTCCGAGAGGTACGGCCGGGAGACGGCTGCGTCGACTGGTGCGGCAGGCGGCGCCTCCTCTTCCGAGGCCCTGTTCCTCCCCAGCCCCAGCCTCTGCAGCGCCGGCACGATTTCCAGCAGCCGGGGATCGGTCTCCGCGTCGGAGAACGTAAAACCCAAGTCCACTAAGCCCTTCAGCTCCTCGAATTCCAAATCCGTCAAACTCTTGCTCTTTTCCTTCTTCTTCCTCCTCCGCCTCCCTCCTCTCTGCCCCCACCTCCCATAGCTCTTTGTCTCACTGCCGCCGCCGGCGGGGGCCACGGGTTCGGCCCCGGCGAAGGGGTCCTCCGATGGCGCCTCCTTCCCGGAGAGGATGGTGCATAGCTTCGGAGGGCGGATGGTGAGGGAGGCGGAGGGGACGGGGGCGGGGGCGAGGGCGGGGGCGTGGACGGACTCGTCGCTGAGGGAGCGGCGGTGGCGGCGGTGAAAGAGCGGCGTGCGGGTAGTGGGCTGAATCGGCGAGGTGTGGAGGGGGTCCGGTGGCGGCCGTGGAGGAGGAGGTGGTGATGAGCTGAGGATTTGGTGGTGGAACCAGTAAAGATCAAAGAGGTGGAGGACGTGGGAGCCGTCCTCCTCCGGTGCCGGCGAGAGAAGGGAGGAAAGTGGAGGAGGATTTGATCCTCCTGTCCGCCGTACGAGTACATCCATCAGCAGGATTAGAGGCGTTATTACGACCCAACCATTTAGACATCATAATTATAGTGGATCAGCACGTGCGTTAAACACTCGATAGTTTACGGTGCGACGTCGTTGTTGACGGCGACAATGTTGGCGGCTGCGATCGGCTGTCGACCATCGAGTAGCAACCACGGACAAACTCGGTGCCTCGATCACGTGTCATGCGTAGAGCACCAAAGAGGAGGCTTCAGTGATCCAGTGATCGACTGAAACGTGGCTACTGCTCGATTTAAGTAAATCTTCATATTAAAAAAAAAGAAAAGTCATGCTAATATCAACTGCCATCAGGTAAAGGTGCATGATTAGGTTCGGAGATATCAAATTAATAAGGTATATATAGACAACAAACTTAAATCCAAAATCATTAACTTTGAAGCCGATATATAATATATATAATTTTACCAAAAAATATATGTCCACAAGAATAATATATCTTCATCAACATTTTTATAAAATATGGTATTCAACCATCGAGAACTTGAAAAAAGGTTTTTATTAGACATTTTAGATCAATCAACCATTTCTATTAATACAAGCCAATAGGGCTTTAATTGTAGTACAATCAAATGAATCATATTGGGGAAAAAAATTCACCGTCAAAAGGCAGTCTTTTTTTTTACACATTTTGTGATACATCAACCGGCCAACTTTTGCTTGGCCATGGTTGTTTCTTCGACTATGTTGCTTGAGAAGTAGATAGTTATAAGACAATATATCAACTTAAAGCTTCTTGCTCTGAAGGAGATGAATGGAAGTTCAGACCAAGCAACCAAATAGCACGACCATATGCTAGGGAAAAAAAAAATGCAGCGATCGGAATCAATCAGCAAGGCGGAGTTCCATATGCTGTCTAAGAGAACTTCCTTGATAAAAACAATTTGATGAACTAACCAACAAATTTGCAGGCCAGAAGATCCTGAAGAATCTGGAAAGGCGCGGATAACTCTGAACACCAAGTATTGTGAAATAGTATTAGAATCACCATGTGGGAGAGGTATCAAATCTGGAAATAGTATTAGAATCACCATGTGGGAGAGGTATCAAATTAACTATTTTTTAAAATAATTTACTGAATATGTTGACAAAGACTAGCAACCGTACCTAGCAAACAAAATTATAAATGAAAAAAGTTAGGTAACAAGTAGCAGTTCTTGCTAAAGACTATTGTAAAACCAACATCAGTGGTGCTCATGAATGATACTATTACTGAGCTCAAAATCAAACACCAGTCAAACAGACAATTTATAGTACTTGATTGCCAACCTGGCATGTTGAAGCACAATGAATCGTACTAGCACTTCAACTAATGTCAGGTTGTTTTATGTTGTTCAATTTTTTGATAGGTGGTAAGCTGCAAAAACAATTCAACGAGGCTATGTTCGAAATCCATGGATGGAAATCAATCCATGATATTCTGCTATCATTAAACATATATGCACCCACACAGAATTTGGCATTTTCTATAAATTGTTCGAGAAACACATTTTTTTTCTTTCATATCAAAATGTCATATACTGATTGATGAAACATAGTCTAATGTTGCAACCGCATTTTAGATCATGTCGAAAGTTGATTATTGGTACAGTCTATATACTTTTCAAAAAAATATATATTGACTATAGTGCATGAAAAATGGATTGTAACTTGAGTTCCCTAAACCATCCTATGTGGCATAAAAAATATGAAATAACCATCATTAGCATTTAGCTTGTATCCGTCTTTTGTTGTGGACTTAATAAATATTCCAGTGACAAGCAATATAAGGTCCAACACATTTCAAAGTTCGAACAATGAATAGGTAGGAAGAAGGAATTCAAAGTCAGTCAAAGCAGATATCAGACCTACCACAAACTGAGGATCTAGATTCACGAGAGAAAAAAAAACTATTTTTCATGCCTCACCACATTTATTAGACTACCGGCTAGAAATATTTTATTAGGAATGATAATCAAATGGACAAGACATATTTTCACAAACAAGACCTGCAATTCAGTGCAAATGAAAATCAACAAATGCTATGAGGGGAAGGGAAACCTAAAGGATGAATCAAACAGTTATATTAACCACACAAAGATACGTAAAAGTTGAATTGTTGAAGCAAGAGACTTCAAAGATGAAAAGAATTGTTGGTTAAGATATATGTAATAGAGGCATCTCACCAATTCAAAATTGGATATCTCTGGTGTCTGGCATGAATCAATTTTCAATATCTAGAAGTTCCATGTCATCAAGGATGACATATTTTACTGCTCCACTGGGACTTGAAGAAATGGCTTCTTCATTTCCGCTTGGCTGACCCGTCTTCAGTTTTTCATATCTGCAATATCAAATTTGAAAAACTAGTGATACCAACAATTTTCGGATAAGAACTCAATATAAATTGTCATATTATAAATAAAAATGTGCACTCCATATGGCCAATCTAGGACTGGTCTATTTTATATCTGGCTCATGGCTGGAATCTGCTAAGATTTTCTCTTCCATGTGAAAATTTAAGCGTAATGGCTGCTGCCATGAAAGTATCTGTCTTTGAACCAATGCCTAAATTTCTTATACTTCCAATAATCCTGATTAAAACTAAAGCCAGAGCTAAGTGAATTGAAGTGTATTAGTTTTTCTTTTAGGCAATTACACACTGAATTTTTCTTTAGGGTAATCAAGTCAGAGTACAAATATTTTAAAAGTGATGTTTCAACAGTCCATAACCAATACTCTTATCCTTCAGGGTCAAGCAATAACACTAACATGGACCTCCACACTCAAAAGTGTTGCTTTAGGACCAAGTAGTCAGCATACTGAATTGAACAAATGATTCTCGTATAAGATACCAACCCCCTTTCAGGTATCACATGTGCCAATACCTATTGCTGTGAGTCATCAAATTCATGGACACCAAGAATGGATGCAGTAGTCAACATTGGTACAACCTATGCTGAAATTAGCTCAAAGTTGGAATTTTCAAGAGTTTTACATTCAGGTTTTGGAATGAATGGCAGGAAAAAAATGTCAACAGCAGCTCCAAGTTTCAGCTAGAAATCATCATAAACTTTAACTGCACTATTACCATGGACTACACTAGCAATTATAAGACAGAAAATTGCATATACCACAAAATAAAGAAAAAAATATTTACTTACTTGTACCAGTTAAATAAACTGACACCAGTAATGATTATAAGAAGTCCAATTCCTTTCAACAAGGTGAACTGGTCATGGAAGTAAAACACGGCAACCTGGAAAATTTTTGTATAATAAAAAATTACTCCTGTATTCATTAACAACACAATTTGTCCAAGCTACAAACTAGTGATGTTAGAATCAGAAGCCAAATGAGAATATTGCAGGGAAACTCAATAAGAATTACTTGATGGGAAAAATAAACAAAGATATGTTAGTACTTAGTATGTTAAGAAAATTCAATGTTGGCTAGTAAAGAAAGTCAATGAAGAAGTAGGGATACATAAACCTGAAAGAGATGGACACAGCTGCTCGAGTGTTATTATAAGTCATATTATATGGAGCAGCATTTCTTGATAGACCATAAAAGTGGACAGTTAAATCTTAATGTTGTTCTTCACTGGTACATACACTTTGCAATTAGATGTGAATAGAAAATTCTATAAATAAACTTCTAGATATAGCAAAAACAATCACTAATTACAGAAACATTCAACTAATATAAGATAAATACCACTGCAATATTGCTGTGGTAATTCAATAACTAACTAGCATTGTGCTACTTCTAAAGACAAATGCTCTCGATGGACCATAAAGGAATTATTTGTAGTCTTTGTCAAATTCCATGTGGAGTTACTTATACTACCAAAACATTATGAGGGTGTGGTGCTGCTTTCAATATGTTGACATACTACTTCAAAAATGATTTTGCAGTTGTGCTATCATTGCTGCTGGTTGCTATTGTGTGTTCTTATTTGAAGTGAATTTGTTCCAATATTTTGGTTTTGCATTGTTTATAACCTTTGCAAAGATTGATAAAAAATGTGCTAATTCATTTTAAATGCTATTTCAAGATTTTGAAGAGGCATGTCTTTGTAGTCTGTTAGTTTAGATGGAGGGTCATTGAATTTCAAATGGATGTTAGTTACTGAAAAATGAAATCAAAGGAGAAGTGCACAAGGATTAAAGTTAATGTAAGCATAAAAGTAGAAAGCGTCCCCTCTTTGAGATAAAGGTTTTCTTAACCACATCATGTTTAACTTGAAAGTATATAAAGATTGGAGTGTGTCATATCTGTATTGTCATGTAGAACCATTGGCCGATTCATCATAGCATCAAAAGAAAATACAAAGAAATCACTTAATAAGGTAAACTAAAAAAGAAAAAATAACCAAAAATATGCTAATATAATGAACCAACCTAACTAAAAATTAGCTATTTAATCAAAGATGGAATTGAATTGTCAACTCTCACCACAATAGTAACTGCTTCCTTCACAACGCCAGCTATAGAGACAGTTACAGCACTGGTTGCTGAAACAAGAATATATTCAGTTAACACCTGCAATTATCAACAATTTACTGCCCTTATATTAGTACATAAGAATAAGTGATCCTGATAGGGTAGTTATATGAGACCATCGCTGCAAATAACACACAGCAATAATGAGGGATATTGTTATTAAGTGAGAAGAACAAACCATTTTCCAACACATACCATAAAAAAGGCCAATGCTCCACCAATTAGCATTAAGAGACAGCTGCGGGCAACATGCCATGGACTATCGAAGTATGTATTTGTGTCAAAATCATGCCAAGGATCCATTATAAGAGAGAGAACCAAAGTTGCTACAACCATGGTAGGAGTAACATAACTCATCAGAGTAATTGGATTCTTTAAACCTGAATAAGAACAAAATAAACACAAACTTTTATTGATATAAGCAAGGTTTTGTCAAAAACAGTTTCACAACTAAGAAACTTTGCAATTATTAACTCAACAAAAGACAATTTAATTCAGAATAAATTCCAATACGATCAGGCAGAAACCAAAGAGAGCATGTTGTAAAAATATTACTCGACAGACCAATCGGATTCATGGTGAGTGCATGGAGATAGCACTCTATACTGTTCTATAAATTCTTTTTCTTAATTCACTAAAAAGAGGAAGGATGGACTGCTTACCATAAGCTTCTTTCTTCATGTCGAGTCAAGAAATGACATGCAAAATAATAATAATAATAATAAATGTTAGCATAAGAGGAAAAATTATCACATTTGACATATAATATCGTTAATAATTTAATTACGGAACCTTAACTGTTTTTATCCAAGTTAAAATTCACACTGAATGGAGACGCTTAAATCATTTTCAAGCAAGTATTCATGTACACACCTGCAAAAGAATCTGAGTCATGGACCAGCGAAAACCACTCATAACAGCAGCAAACATGACAAAGACAAATCCCCAAAATTCAAACTCTGTCTCCTTGGCAACTGGCAAAAATCATATTAGTCAATCACATTATAGAGCTTAAAAATATTATCTGACATAAAGAACATACTGTATTATCATATTTGATAAATTAGCAGCCAACCACCAATCAATAAACATGGAAAAGACAAGACATTTTTCTCTATAAATCTAAAGAAAGCTTGAAAAAATGGTCTATTAGGAACACAACACATTAACTGAAGAGGGGACACATACTTTTTTAAGGGGAACAAGAGGGGACACATACTTGGTAATTCAAGGATGTTTATCTATAGGTTTCCTTCATGTTTGCAGCTGAATCCACAAATTAGAACATGCCAGTAAAAGGCACATACACATCCATACAGTGGAAACATGAAACAAACAAGCCTTGTTTAGGAAAATTCCTGGATGGGTAAGTTTAAATGAAACAGTATACATGGAACCTACAAGTGCTAGTGCCCATGGTATTGCAGTGTACAGAGAACCTATGCGAAGCAATGTGAAGTTTGGTGCCTTAACCACCTGCATACTTTGGTCACTTTCCCGTTGTATGGGAGTTCCAATTACATGTATCAACAGGACATAGAAAACAGAAACCATGTTCATTGTGGAAAATTGGCCAGCTTGGCTCAGATGAAACCCAATTCAGCTTAAGGTCTTTACATCGACTCAGGGCTTTAGCTTCTAATGCACACAGCTACTTCATGTTGAGTCTCATGAGCTCTAAGATTAACAGGTAACCGCTCATGATTTCTCATATTTGTCATAATATTTGTATATTTTGTGCCTTTACTTCAACAATGAGATCTCATACTTTTAACGAATGATGAACTTTGGTCAAAATAGACAATTTATAAGGTGATTACCTACACATTTCAATTTAGCAAATGCTTTTCTGATGGCGCACTAAAGGAAATGCACGAACAAGCATATTGCATTAATATATATACTGCTAACATTTGCAAATTTTATTTATGCAACTTCTTGAATATATGAGATCTTCTCATTTTTAAAATTTTAGAAAGGCTCAGATATAGTATTTTTTCCTGACAAAAGAACATTGATTGGATACATTAAGTTAAAATACCTGTTAACAGAACTCCAATGGAAATGATTAATATGATGCCCAGAAGCTTAACACTCGGAGTTTCCAACCTAAAGTGAAAAATACATATATAATAATGGGCAAGAAGGCATAAATATTATTACAGTGGGTGTATGTCACCATAGCATCCAACAAAGCCTTGCTATTATATCAAGACAGAAAGAAGGCCAAGAACTTTTGTGTGAGCATTATCATACTGACTTTCAAAATATATCAAACATACACAATAGAAAATTGGCAATGAGCAGAATATTATTTCACACAACGAATCATCTGGCAATGAAGATACAGAAAGGTTAGCAAAGATAAGTATCACAAGAAAAGAAAACATTTAGAGGGAAAATTTCCAGACTAAAAATCTACAGTAACTAGTAAAGGTTCCTGTTTCTTTACTTCTCATAATGTTTCTCCTCTTTTTCTACGGATGGTGTCCATGTCATCATGGCTTCAAAAGTTCAGCATAGCAAATGCTATCACAAAAGATATGCTTGAAATCAGGATCTACCTATGTACAAGGTGAGAACAAATGCAGGAGGAAAAACATATCTTCAGAATGAACATCCTTGTGGCAAACATGATCACCGTTATGAAAACAAATGCCAGAAGGAACTTGAATTTACGAGAATAGTCTAAAAACCAAGAAGGAGCTAAGAATAAATGAAGTACAACTATGATGGATGAAATCACCATTCATGAATGTACGCATTATTAAGAAATCATCCTACGCATGTACAACAGTATTTTTTTTATTGGCTACCACACTATACATCAGAACCATGAAATGCCTATCATCAATGATTCTCAATGGATAATCATCGCCGATAACTTCATTAGCAAGAAGAGACACTATAGAGTAAGATCGAGGGAAGGTGTAAATGATCACAAAGATAATGGATAAAATAGGATCCATGTATCTACCCCACTAGCAGAGACTTGACCTTTGTGTTTGGCAGTTTCTGATGTGTAGTCTTACATCAGCTGCTGACTGGAAAATTGGAAATATCCATGGTGTGACTTGGAGTAGTATAGAACCTCAAATATATGCAGATTATTCCAGAGACATATCGAAGTGTCCCACTTGTTAAGGAAGCAAGAAGGTGTTGGGATAGCAGAAGAAAAAAATTCTAAAATGCACTGGAGCATAAATGTTGATGTTGTGAGAATGTGAAATACCATAAGTTCATGAGAAGACAAGGAAAAACAAAAAAGAGTCCTGGTTTTAGTGTTAGTCTCATTTAGCAATTAATATTGATAATCAAAGAGTTAATCAATTGTGCAGTCATATGGACAAGGTTATGCTGGTTATTATCACTAGTATTCATTATGGGTCAAAGAAAGAAGAAAATAAATGTTTGCCTTGGTATGACAAGGTGGCCGTACATCTTATAAGGGCACCTTTGTTCTAATTAAGAATATTTGCAAAGGGGTTTATTCCTCATCTTCAGCCTGTAGATTACAGTTTCCTTCTTTTGGGTTTTGAAGGTATTTTCGTAAATGCATCATTTATAGAATCTGCTAACAAATCTTGGGCTAATAATGCCATATTTTCCTTAAGAAGACTAAAGCTTGAAAATGGTCTGACCACAATCTATTAGGTATGCAGACGTGTGTAACATGACATTCTAGGTTGTACTGGGAGAATGAAGATGGTAATGAAGATAGTTGAATTTCTTTACTAGCATAATTTGCAAAAGATCATATTATGCAGGTAAACTACATCATCTAGCACAGATACTTCACCATGCTCCACCTTCTCCTCCAACCGACAAATTCACTTTCAGACACCAAAAGTTTAGTTGCACAAAAGACACTTCAAGTTGTAAATTCCTGTTGAGATCTCCAAAACCATCTGTTCCAATTTCATTTTTGATACTTTACTATCCCATTAGGCTTTAGCATGACTCATGGTGCATTTTGTCCTGTTGTTGTTCGGTAAGAATATAAAAAACAAGTATGTTTAGATTCTAAACCAAGGTCTAAATCTTAGACTGTGATCAAGACTTAGAACTAGAAAACAGAGCATTGTGTTGGTACTCCTGGCTCCTGAGTCAAATCAAATGAACCAGAACATGCTGAATCAAATGTCCTTCTTGTTTTAGATGAGTCCTGAACCGAACAGCTAAATCAAACTGGATAAATAACAAGCCAAACCAAAGGACTAAAATCCACACATTTTGGAAATGTTTCACTATATCAATCATGAGGGTGACCGACACTATAAGTGGGTGAAACCCACTAATCCTCCGTGTCAGATGAAGGTGTCTGATTCTAGGTGAGGTGCCAGTACCACATGAGCCTCCTTTTCAGTCACCAGAGAGTATAGAGATGCCACCAAAACTTAAATCTTTAACACCAAATTAAAAAAAAAACAATATTTGTTTTCCTATATTATATTTTCAAATTTTTTTACTTATATTTGCTCCTGAAAGTAAGGCTATATTATGTTATGTGGAGAATCTTTTATTCATTCGATTTAGGCTGAGGATTAGCTTCTCATATGCATCATTGGAACATGTTGCATCAACTTGAATTCCATTGCCCAGACTAAGTTAAATGTACAAAATATTGCTGGATGGATGACATGAGTTTCTTAATTATATTAATCATGCTGCTAGATTTTCAGAAATGAAGAAAACAAATTAAAATACATTTGTGAATCTCATGTGTACAAATATGGATAATAAAGAAGAAAATAAGGACAAAATATTGAAGTAAAAGAACTACTCAAGTATATAAAAATATAAAGAGTTACCTAAATGCAAATGCAAAAAGCAGAAGAAATACCGGAGAGGCTGATTTACACTGCATGATATCAGCAAAAGCAGAACAAAGGCAAAGTGTCAGAAGCTTTAGTGGCATGTGTGAGAAAACAATGATTCAAGAAGTTTCTCTTGAACAAAACAAACCATTGTAGCAAATGTCACGGATATGAAAACAAGAGAAGCGTTGCTCAAGTTTATGTCAAGTGCAGTTCCAAGAGCTGTTGGCACAACTGCAAAAAGTAAAACCCTTGTCTAGCATTAGTACACAATTGTTAATATATGAAGATCTAGCTACGTGTGTCTCTCAAACATACATAATATTTTCCATCTGCACTTGAGTAGATAATATTATCCATTTTACAAAGAAAAATGATAATCTTGCTGTCAAAACATAAGAAGTTGCATGTAATATAAAGTTATGAATAATAACACAAGAATAGAAAGAGACAACCTGCTCTGAGGTAACAGTGAATTTCAAGATCGGGAATCAAAAAAATGGAATGGCATAACAATTGAAAAAAACCAGTATCGATGACTCATACATACTGCTGATTAAAAGACAGGTATTAGGATTCCTAGATGCATATAAAGATTGTAAATCAGAATCTGAGAAGTTACAATAACAATAATTGTTAATAGAAATTAGAAATGCTGGCAGTCACATTATTGTACCAAAGTTATGGATCATCCAACTTATAAAAATTCCATATTCCAAACTGTTAGATACACCTTGATTTCTCACTTCAATTATATCCATTAACTCATCTTTACAAGTAAAACGAATAAGGCTGTGCAAATTTTAGAGTATTTGCGGACGTAAATGGTAAAAGAATTATCAAATTTCGCATATATTATTGTCATATTGTGTAAGGAGCAGGAACTGCATGTGCTACAGTAGAATGATGCAAGTTTGGCATACAAGTGGCAACCCGTAGGATGACTTGATACATGACCAATACTGAGTGAGTAAAAAAATCCAAAAAAGGGCTGTTATATGAGAAACATGCATGGCATCACACCATTAAGGCACAAAAACACCAATAACATGTTAACATATTGCAGGATGTGGATTATGGAATTGATATTTAAAGTTATTTCAAACTGATCTGCCAAGGTGTCGAAACTGGTCTGAGGAAGAAATTAATGGTAAGACAGCTACCTTTAATGAAGTAATCCTTCCATGTCATTTTAATGCCAACATCACCTTTCCGAGACTGTATGCACACCACTATTTTTGATAAAATAGCTTGCAATGCAAAATGAAATGTGTTCATCAATAATGGTGCTGGAAACTTCCCTAACTTATCCCCTAAAAGTGTCTTATTGTACCTATACAAGAGAAATCATACAAAAAAAGTCTATTAACAATTAGCAATCAAATTAATAAGAGCAAGCATATAAAGAACGTACAATTCGAAGCATCTAAATACTCACAATGTCAAACAAGTGCTGAATGTGTACCAGACCAAAATATAAAACAATGTCTTGAGCACAACGACCGTGGAGATGGTGCTCTCTGCAGCCCTTTCTAATTCTTCGAGCTTCAAAATCGACTGGCTCGGATGCAGACCATTCACCACGTCAATGGGAACGTACTTGTTACCGTTCGGGTTCCCCTCGGCACCAACAACCGCGGTCCTCTGGCGAAAGTAGGGCGATATCTGGGTCTTAGGCTCGACGGCTACATTATTGTTCAATCCCTCCCCATGGATCAATGGCGACTCGACATTCTCGGCCTCTTCCGGCATACCGCCGTCGCAAGATCCATCGACCGAGCAGCTCGACCGCTCGATGCCGTCGCCGCGGCACCGGTTGGAGATATATAGGTCCTTGTGGAGCACCTGCCCTTCGTTCTCGGTCCGATCCTCGTCAACCTTCGTTCCCGCCGCTTCGACATCCTTCTTCGCTCCGTGATCGCCCTCGGCCATCGGTTCTTGATCAATTCTTGACCTCAAATCAGCATCTGCCCATCAAATCTCCCCGGACTCGGGCGGAAACCGATCCAAGAAAGCGGGGCCAAGAAGGAAACGGCCCCAATGAGATCGAATTCTTGGATCTTGATCGATCGCAAGAAGGTGCGAACGAGATCGAAGAGGAGTTCTCGAGATCTCCTTGGAATTGGAACGTGACGCGCAGCTGGATCTGGATCCACGGATGTTGGGGGGCCGAGGAGGGAGGGCGGAAGGAAAACAACGAGGGGAAGCCGTTGTCGTTCGGTTTGTGCGTCGCAGTCGCGATGAAGGCAAGAAATCAAAAAAGGCGGTCTTCTTTACGGGAGAAATCGTAGCTGCTGTCATTAATGTTCGTCGCGAGGGGCCCGCGCCGTGCGTCGGTCGTCCCTGCCAATTGTAAGTTTAGGATCCCCTCCAATCCGAACTAAAATAATTCGGCTCCGATTCTAAAATCTCAGACGTCCATTGGCGCTCCCTCGCATCTTTACCATCCGTTCCAATCGACGCAAACCACCTGCTTTAGAAGCGGCGGGCGCCGATAACGTTTACGGAGGCGTCTAAATGGATGGTCAGGATAAAAGACTTAGATCGATGGACGGCTGCGATCCGAATATTGGAATCCTCCGGTTTGAATCTAATCCAATCGGAGTGGCCAGTAAAGCCTCCAGGCGAGGACCAATGGACGGTTGTGATATGAAAACTAGAATCGCACGGTAAATGTTTGATTTGGATGATTCGTTATAAAGATTAAAACGGAGAGGATCCGCACCGAGGTAGGACCCTTCAAAATTGTTCTTATCGTTTTGCCGCACATGAACGAGTAAAATAGTCGTGGTTGGTCGCAAGTTGTCAGGCGGATGATGTTAGTACATGTCTGGTTGGAAAGCGGGATCGAGTTGTTCGACGACAACATATGTGTTTGTGTTGGTGTTGGGTGATTCGTATGATACTCTCTGACAGGAGCATCAGACGAACACCCAGTTTTCGTATTTCTTGCATGTACATCTCTAAATAGTTAGTTGGGTGCGGATCCGCTCTGTTCGTTTTGAATTATTAAGGAATAAAAATTTATTTAATGCTTAATGAAATAGAGGGTAGAAATTATGAAATTAAAAAAAAGACGGTAACGAGAGATGATAATAATTAAAAAGTAACTACGAAAGAGAAAGAAAGTGAGTATGATAGGCAGGAGAGAGGGTCGAGTTAGCATAAATTAAGATTTAAATGAAAATACTAAAATATTTTTTAATAAAAGATATTATAAACAAATAAATTTTATTTTTTTTATATCTCTTATTGATTTATTTTCGTAGAATATCTCTTATTTAAAAAAAATAAAATTACCCTTACATTTCGCTCATTGACTATTATCATCCTTGTCACGTCTCGTCTTTTTTTCTTCGTTATTGTGATTGTCATCGTCTATTGTCATTATTAGTTGTATTTGTACTATTATGAGACCCTCCATCATTTTTGTCTTTCCTTTTTTCTTCTTTAAGCCTCTTCGTATTTATTATCATAATCGCGACCAATGCCATCACCCATTATCTCCATCCTACCACTCTTACCTTTTAGTATATTTTCCTTCTATCTTATTTTTTTCATTACAATCACTATCACGATCACCCTCTTCTCTCATCTCTCTTAATTTATAACTATTAATTTAATAAAAAATTAATAGATGATTGAACGTATGAAAAAAACAAGGATGAGAGCAATGTGGTAGAGGTAACAAAATACAATAGGGTAAGACGAAGTTAAAAGTAATTTTATTTTTTAAGAAAATAATGGTGCAATTTGAGAAGTAAAAAAAGCGGGAGGAGAAAAAAAAATAAAAACTTAAGATTTTTTTTAAAATTATCCTTAAATAAATGAAAATAAAAATAAATAAAATATAATTAAGGTAACGCACACGGAGCATATAACGGGCTCCTTCGATCCCCGACACCGAAACGTCGTTTCGTTCCGTTCCGTTCCCTTCCCCGGTCTCCAAAATCGCATAAAGAAAAAGGGTTGTACTTTCCGAGGGCTCTCTCCGTCCAAACACTCTCAATCAGCGTGCAGAAGGCGGGAAACGGAGCCCTCCGCGCGGGAATTTCCTCATCCCCCTTCTCCAGCCATCTCTTCTTCCTTCATCCTTTCCTCCTATGGCTTAGATTGGGGATTCTTGCCCGAGTCTTATGGCGGCCGATGGAGCCCTAGAAATTTTCCCGCAGATCCAGGCACTCGTCCTCGACAAGCTTCAAGTGGTAATTTGATGCCTATCCCCGATCATCATCTATCGAATATTTTCCCTGTTGCGTTTTGCTCGATTCAAAAGCCACGTTATAGATAAAAAAACTGCTTGTATTCTGCATTTCCCTGGCATTTATTGTCATCGATGAGATGCGTATATCGTCAAGAAACCTTAATTTCAATATGGGTTGGTGCCATCATCATCATTTCGGGTGGGTAAAAGACGCCATCGCTACTGGTTGCTTCCTATGAAATAGATCGCCCGTAGACTTTTATGAACTTCGTCGAGCTTGTCACACCCGGTTGCAAATTGCTTCACTTAACCAGCATTTTCTCTCTGCAAGTAGCGTTACTGATTCTTCGATGTATAAGAAGCTGACAATGTTGCCGAAACTTTTGTTTCATCATAACTTCCAGGTTTCCTACAAGTGGCTTAGTCGCAACTTTTCGGTGTCATCAAATTATGCAAAAAGGTGCAATCTTCGGTTTAAATGAATTAATCGCGGTCGGAAAATTTTAAGCTATACTTTTCTGACTTTGTGAGATTGCTGTGTCTAGGTTGCTTCGGGAGTTTGCGGAAAAGCACTGCAATGAGTTGGAGGTGATATACACATTGTCCGGATGGTTGAAGAGTGAACCTCAAGCCTATTGTGTAAAACTTGCTTCAACCTATAAACTAGAAGGTTATATATGCCTTACTTGGCTGACACCTACATTTTTCTCAACTTGTATTTTAACAGTCAGCCTGTACAAAACAGCATCATTATATTTGGCTCTGTTTAATTGTCTCACTTGATGGTTTCAGTACTTCTGCTAAAATCGATGATTGAATTATCTAAAGTAATGCTTCCATTGGATAATTCTTTACATTCACTTTCTCGAAGAACATTGTTAACATTATCCAATTAGTATTATTTTTCATTTGTTCCATGCAAGGTTAATTGAATTCCATGTTCATATTGTCAAACCTTTAACCAGGATAAGAATTAAAAACATATATGTAAAACAAATTGTGAAGAATGCATTCAAGTTTTTTGTTTTAAGCTTCTTATATATGTCATCAATTGTCATATGGTTTTTTTGGTGTTAGGAGACATATTTGTGCTCTTAACAGATGTTTTCATGTCTTTTAAAGGTTTATAGAAAAAACAGGAAATGAACAATTGATTAAAAATGATCTTGTCTGTTGAGTAAAAGGAGTATGATCCTGGAAAGGGACAAACCAACTATGTTGAAAAGCTTAAGTTGGGTTTTTTGCTTTTCTAGCGACATAACAGAGTATCTTGTTAAGTATGTGGCAAGAAAGTAGTCCACATTATGAAGATTACTGATAGACATCATTCTCTCAATTAGCTGGGTTCGTGCATCTATTTTGTAACTCTTTGTTGATATGGACCTTTTCTAAGACATACTGTTTGATTTGGTGCAGAAGTCAAACAAGTATTTAAAGATAATTGCTCAGTTCAGGTTTACAGTGTCCAAGCATGTATTCCAAGTGATCTTGCAGTTATATGGAATGCTGAATTTGTGCAGGCGGAGGAACTCTTTAATCAACCATTGACTGAAGGAAACTGCTTGAGGGATAACAGGCAAGTCACTTTTACCTTGTTTTACCTTGCTGAAAATATCTTGTTCTTGACATTGTTACACTTGTGTTATATATAAATTTCATATGCTTTATCATGCCTATCTTTCTTGTTGCACTTGAACATTGTCGATGTTGTCTTTTCCTTCTAGGTTCTGTGGCGTTTCAAATTCATTTGTCAAGCGCATTGTTGATGGGAAGCATGTTGGTGCTGCAGCACCATGGCCCATGAATGGTAAAAGAGTAGCTATAGAGTCAAAAGGTATCAGCACTGTGAAAGGTCAGCCTATTCAGCATCCTCAACAAGGATCCGGTGCCAAAAATGGCATGCAGTCATCTATTGCAGTATCAAGTGATAATAGCGAGAAAGTTGCTCTTGATGCAGCCAGCAAAGTTACTAAGCCACCTTTAATCAAAGAATCTGTTTCTGGTGGTAATACTGGCAAAAATAAAGGTCAGAATGTAAAGTCCTCGTCAGGGACTACCAGTTCACTTGCTAGTTTGTGGGGCAATGCTTCAGCAAAATCAAAGCCTGCGGCTCCTGCTGCTGAAACCGCTATTGATACGTCAATTGCTGCTGGTATTTGGAGTGTTATTCCTTCAGTTGAAGGCTATATGTATTTACTGTCCTCAATCTAAATATCCTATTTATACACTATGCTGATTTACATTTCAATTTCTCTTTCCTCATTATGATATCTAGCTACTGCTGAAGCTCAAATATGTGCACATGAAGCTTTGGATGCTGCCAACAGTGAAGATGAGGACCATCATAATAATCATAAGCGGGAGAGGAACAGTGTAAGCGGCAGAAAGAGAAGGGTTTTTCTTGATTTCTCAGACGATGATGATGAAGAGGAAAATGTTACTAGTCTTTCATCTCCAGATGTTTTTAAAGGGAAACATGCTGCAGAATCCTTGCCTAAAACTGAAAGCTTATTGGACAGAAGTAAACCGAACACTGCAGAGCCTAAGGGTGACAGATTGAGTGATGGGCTAGATAGCACTAAGGGAAAAAATTCTTCACTTCCATCAGATGCTGACGAAAGAATTGCAAGCATTACAATGGGAGGAATTTCCTTAAAAAAGAAGACCAATAGCTATAATCAAGGGGACACTGACAAGAATAATAAGGATGTAGCCACCACTTCTACTTCACCAAAAAGAAGAAAAGTACTCAAAACTCGAATTGACGATCGAGGAAGAGAAGGTATATTACCATTGTTTGCTTCTTGGTTTTAACTTGTCTATAGTGGGATAGCTAGCAAATTATATCCTGGTTAACATGGTGTTCCATTCATTAATTTGGTTTTAACTTCCGATGATTGATTGTTCATCAGAAGAATTAGATTGAGACATTCTCAAAAAGTAGTAGGCGCCGACAAAAATTGCAAGAGCTTGATTGGTGATACATTGATGCAGCTTTATTTTTGGGTCATTTATAGGCATGCTTTAGCAATAAATATTCAAAATTTAGATTAAATTGGATGATGGTTACAAAGGACTTCACTTCCATTATCTTCAATATATATATATTTTTTGGTCGGTGAAAGTAACAAGTAAAACATACAATAGTTTTGCTGATTTGACATGGCCAAGATGCAGATTATCTTTTCCTCTGTCTGCATTTTATTTCTTTTGCTTCTATTGTGTATTAAAACTATTATTTCTCTTTCATTATTGAATAATCTGTACATCATATGTCCATGAATATGAGGTTCTCGTTGCATTCCACTTTTCTTCCTTGTTGACATTATAATTCCTTAGCCTGAGCTTTACACTGGGTAATAAGTATCTTCTTTGGAAAAGTAATTATGGAAAATAATTCATTCCTTTAATTTTTTTGCAAGGCACTCTGATTATGGCCTGCTAAATTTTTTCCCCTATCTTTTTGGTTATTTCTCATTGCATTCTATTCATTTGTTCAAGACATGTCTAAAGGTACTCAAACCTAGAGACTTATTAGCTTGCACACTTGAGGTGAGGAACATAATATGATAGCTTATACTTAAATCATAACTTAATATACTTCAGTTCTTCTTTTGGTCAAATTTATCCGTTGTAAGCATTCAGCTCGGTTGATATCTCATGTCTTCAGCCTCATATATCACTATTAAGTATTTTCCCCTTCTCACTGCTTGCTTACCTCATCATTTCTAATATTGCTGCTTGTTAACAAATCTGCTACTTTTCAGTTACTGAGGTTATTTGGGAGGGGGAAACTGCTGACAGTAATATGCCTGAGAAGAACATTTCCGTTAATGATTCTGCAAACAGGTATCAGAATCAAGCATGCTTGCTTTTTTGTTATGTTTTTGTGTCATTTATAATTCAAAACAAAAATATTATAATGTCAATTAAACATAGAAATAACCTAAACTTTTTGTCATGTGAAGATAATTTTGATGCAAGTTCATGTTTGTTTCAAGCTGTTCTTTGTAGTCTTTGATTTCATTCAGTCTTCTTTTCTGGCATGATTAATTTGAATTAGTTTGGCCATTTTTTTTCTTTAGAAACTGCAAGATACTATCGTAAGTGCACTTGGTCTGTTCATAGAATTCTCTTTTGGGCGTTGTAATGATCATGATACATAATGCACTACCTTAAGTGCACTCGATCTGGTTTCGAGTGAATACAAATTTATTTTTGGTGTAACAATCATGATTTGCGTATCTCCATAATAGAGGTTTGAGGTGAAAAAAAACTGTTAAGAGCCTAGCTTACAGTCAGAAAGATGACTGGTTCATTATGATATTCAGGCTATATTTTTCCAAAGCATCCACCAACTTTCTTGATGTCTGATGTTTACCCAAGTTGTTTGATTACATTTCTGGAATATTGAAGAATGGATCTTTCATTTGGCCTTATTGCAGGTCCTTAAGGCCTTTTATGGATTCAAGTTGATGTTGACTCTTTCACCTTTTTACTCTAAAACCTGTGCACAATTGCCGTTGACTATACTATTATACACACATATAAAAGACACCATTATCTTTAATCTTTAATTTTGAGACCTGTTTCACACCATGGTTTAATTGTTGTAGCTCTCTCTGGTGTCTTAATGGACCCTAAGTCCTGTGTTTTGCTTCAACCAATATCATATAGGAAGGTTGTGATTTGAATGGATTTTAATGTGACCTTTTGTATCTTTGCGGAAGAGGTCCATTTACATGTGTTGTTAGGTTAAGCAATCAAAGACAAATGAATATTAATGGAAGTGCAAATTTGCAATTGATTATTGAGAAATTTCTTTAATGTAAGATTGCATAGTCTGTGAAGGTTTTTCTGCTCATGATTCAAGAGAACAAGCTGATCCTTATGCTGATTTGGTAAGACAATTATCAATGTCAGGGGTTGTAGATGTAGTTTAGGAGTTTGGTGGTTTTCATTTGGTTTGCCCAATTGAAAGCGTAGAATAACTCACTGTATAAGTATCAAGGAAATTCAAACAACCATCAGTCTTCTTAGTGGAGTGTCATCAGTGTTAATATATAGCAGCACGCCGTGCACATGGAGGACCTGTACGTGATTTACTAGATAAATTATTGACCCTAGTGGTAAAAGGTTAGAAGAAGGGAAATGCCTATTCCATCTTAGGGTCAATTGATTCATTTTGTATAGCATCATTGCTCTATTCCATCATTAGCTTTTGTGCATCATGGTGCTGGCAGAATAATATGACTTACCTGATCTCTGATGTTAGGCCTCCTGTGGCTAATAAAGCGCAAGCAGCAGGAATCGCTGCTTCCACTAATCCAGGAAAGGGTGGCAACAAGAAACCAGGAAAAGGTGGCCTAAAAGATGCGAAGCAAGGAAATATTCTGTCCTTTTTCAAGAGGGTGTAAATCCCACTTCATGAGGTGAGCATGTTCAGCAAACTTGGATCTCCTTCAACTATTGATATTTGCTTAAATTGACTAGTAAGGATCCATAGATTAGAAAGATGCTTGCCTACATAAAGCACATTGGAGGAAATTGTTGGTTTAGAATAAAAATAAAATATGAATTATTGATAAAATCTCAGGATTTGAATCTGGATTCCGTGTTTATGACATGCCTATCTGAGTTATATAGAAAATAATTGTTTCTGGATACAGTCTATAGCTAAAAATAAATTTTAGAGAAGACTTTCCTGATGACAAATATTTGTCGCTCAGATCCATAAGAAAATCTAGGATTCATGCTTTAAAGTTACCTTTTATAGTATACGTGATACTCGCATCTCAACCATATGTATCTTATGATTGATATTCAATAAACAATGCAGAGACTATAACTGCCGTCTCTTTGGACAATCCGTGGGAAAGCTCATCCTGGACGGGATTTTTAGATGATAAGTTGTGTCATGTTTTTGAGCTTCGTGAAGCGTTAGCTGTCAGTTATGGATGTGTTGAGCAGCACCTCAAGTCGTCGTTATGCGTTTTATGTTTTTAGCTGAACCTGTCGAGACCCAACTCTATAAGATCATGTAGCCCTGTTTATGGCATGTGCATGGTTCAGTATAATCCTCAAGTATCTATTGAAACGAGGCGGGAGGGAGACATGATCTCATTCGTTCACGCTCTGCCCCCTCTACCACACCTGCTTTAATTTCAGCACTGCCACGCATAAAAGTTCCATAAGAGTGGCCAGGTATACTATCAAAATGTAGAGAACAATTAAAACTTTCTTCTACCTCGTACAAATCCATAGCAGAGAAGAAAAATGAAAGCAAATCACACCTTGTACAATCCAATCACCAAGTTGGAAGAGAAGTTAAGTGTCTGCTCATTGTTGTTCGGTTAACGTAAGCAGCTTAGATCTCGACAGCGACCTTGCGCGTTCAGCAAGGGAGACGAGCAGACTTTTGACTCTGTCCATGTTTTCCAGGTAATACTTGGCTTTGCTGGCCTTATTGGCAACCGTGCAAGTGATCACGGTGGCACGGGGAGCAACCACATCCTTGTGCTTATCCGTGGCGAAAAATTCGAACATGTCCTGGTCTGAGGAGTCGTCGCCGATGAACAGCACAAAGTCCGCTCGATTCTGGTCGTCAGCCATCGTCGAGAGGACCTTCCTGACCACCGAGCCTTTGTTGATTCCCTACGAGTACCCGCCCATACGAATATCATTCATTTCGAGTTAGCATTTGACTCAAGTCCACTAATTGAACACGAGTTAAGTAATACAAATGACTCTCCATATTTCACGTACCTGCGGATGGACTTCGATGCTACGATGGCCACTCTTGATCACTACTGGTTCGTGTAGTAGCAAATCCTTCATAAGGTCCACCATCTCCTTTGCCCGTGCAGGGTCTACCTCTTCATACCGCCACACGATTGCACTGTGTTTGATCTCCAACGTCGGATGCTTCGTGGCTTCCATGTACCGTTTCATCAGTGGCCCCGCGACACCGACCCAATCGAGGTTGACGGCTTCCTCCATAGATTCCCACTCGGCTTGTCCTCCCCACCTAATAGAGTGCTTATAAAAAACAGGATGAGGAATCATGTGAAGTCAGAGGATGATATATCAAGCGAGAAGAATCATACGGCTACCTTGAGAAGTAGCCACGTTCGGCGGCAATGCCGAGACCCCAGCACTTCCCGAACCACCTCCCCAAATCCTTCTTCGTTCTTCCACTGACGATGAAAACCACATTTCTAGGATCGGCACACAGGGAAGACAGGACGTCCGTAACCCACGCTTTTCGTGCCTTCGCGTCGGAAGATTCGGACTCCAGAGTGCCATCGTAGTCGAGGAAAATTGCCCTCCTACTGGCCTTCGTATAAGCCGACGTTACCGTTTGCTCTTGGAGCTCCGTGAAGCCGTCTTCGGATACAGCGTCTCCGTTGTTGAAGTGGGCCGCCTCACGGCTCCTCAGATCATCGATGAAGCTCCTGGACCAGTAAGCCACATCGTAGTTTCTGATGTCTGCGCAGTGCTTCTCGTGCTGCTCCTGTTTCTCCTCCTCGCTCATCGAGATCACTTCGACCAGTGCTTCGGCGGTCTTTGGGGGGTCCAACGGGTTGACTTTGGTCGCCCTGCTCAGGGCCTGCAACGACCCAGTGAACTCCGACAACACCACCCTGCTCTTCTTCCAGGAGGAATGGCGTGAACGGTCTACCTGCCTGGAAACGACGTACTCGTAGGGGATCAGATTCACTCCGCCCCTTATGGCGGTGTCCAAAAGGCAGTCAGCGATGACGTAGAATGCGGCCTTCGCTCTTGGTCTGATAACGTCTTGCTCCACCATTTCGACAGGCTTGAAATGTTCGGAACCGAAAACGCGGTTGATTGTGTCGCAGTGAGCCTTGAGGTTCTGGCGGAGGGCGGAGTTTTCCCTCGCGTAGGGTCGCCCCCTGCAGTTGAGCATCTGGATCAGGGCGACGCGGCCCTGGAAGCGGGTTCCCTGGAGCTTCCGGAGCACCATATTAAAAGCAAGCAGCTTTAAGTGGATGGACCTGAAGACGTCCGGTTCGTCGATGCTGAGGAGGACGGTCATGTCGCGGTATTTGCAGCGGAGATCGGCGAGCGTGTCAGTGCCTTCGGGAGAGGAGAAGGCGGCAACCTGGGCGACGGTGCTGGGCAGGTGGATGCCGGGGGCTAGGACGTGGATCCCGATGGTGCGCCCGAGGTGGTCGACTCCGAGGAAGCCGTGGGAGGATGGAGAGCGTCGGGGGCGGTGGTGGAGGCCGAGGGCGCGGCGGCAGCACGAGAGGAAGTGGCGGGCGTGATCGAGAGCATGGAATCCGAGGAGGTCGCAGCAGAGAAGTGAGTTGAGGATCTGGGTGGCGGGGGGGAGCGAGAGGAAGACTTCCCTGGACGGGAAGGGGGCATGGAGGGAGAAGCCGAGGCGGATGCCGGGGTGGCGGTGGCGGATGAGGGAGGGGAGGAGGAAGAGATGGTAGTCGTGCAACCAGACGAGGTCGTCGTGGGTGCGAATGGCGTCATCGACGACGTTGGCGAAGATGGCAGTGGCTTCATCCCAGGCGGCAGAAGAGGACCCGTCGTAGATGGGGGCGCCCACGCCGTAGGGAATCACGGAATGGAGGGCATGGTGGAGGTAGACCTTGCAGAGGCGGGACAGCCTGGAATCGGTGTTTGGCGGGAGGAAGACTGGGAGGATGAGGAAGCCGAGGAGGTGGCGGCCCCGGGCGAGCCTGTCGCGCAGCTCCTGAGATAGGTCGGCGGCGCCAGGGAGGGTGCCGACCAAGACGAGTTCGGTGCCGGCGGGGACGCCTTCTCCGAGGTGGAGAAGGGGACAGTCCTCCTCCGGTACGAATTTGCACATGCCAGGGATGTCGGGGTCGGAAGTCGCGTGAAATGGGAGCTGGTGCACCACCACGATCACCCGCCTTCGCGAAGCGGAAGGGGAGGCCACGTCGGTCGCCGGTCGTTGGAGTTGAGGCGCCTCCGCCTCTGCTTCCTCGGAAGCGGACACCTCGCTGGTCTCCCACGCTCGTTCCTCTTCGTTCAGCTGCTCCATTAGCTGCTGCACCGTCATCCGCTTGGACTTCGCCGCCGCCGCCCCCCTCAAGTCCGAGTTCCCCATCTCTGGCTCGACCTTGCTTCGGTCCTCCTGCGAGGAGGAGAACAGAGAACGGAACCTACATCATGAATGGCGGATGAGACCCTAATTCGCACTCTTTCTTGGAATCCTTTCCCCCCCAAATCGATCTGTTCTATTGCTCCCGCGCATCATCCAACACCTAAAGATCGAATCGTCTTGGCGACAGTGCTCGATCGGATTCTACAACAGAGACGGTGCAACGACTACATCTTGAACGAATTCCAACCGAACAACTTCAATCCATCAAGAACCAAACTCGACGAGACGAGAAACCAAGAAACGAAGTATCGAAGAAAGAAATCTCACGAAGACGAGAGGTTGGAAGAAGACGAACAAGAAGGAGTCGTGAACCAGGAAGAGATCATCGAACCTTGACCATAGAAGGCGAATTCGTTCGTCTTCGCGAGAGATTTCTTGGGATTCGTCGGGCTCCGATCGCACCACCAGTACCACCACGGAAGCTCCGCCCCCCCGACTCTCTCTCTCTCTCTGCCTCGGGGAAACGAAGAGCGACGAAGGGAACCGATCAAGAGACGGCAGAAACTTCGAACGGGGAGCCGAGGGCGGGAGAACTGGCAGTCATCTTATTGTTACGACCTCACTATTGTGTACCCAAGAAGTACCATTTGAAGGACCGGCGGTTCGTACTGGGACACGTGGCCCCCATCACTATGTTGGGATCATAGAGAGAAATTGGGACCAATGTTGACCGGCCCAATTGGCCTCAGCAGATTGATTTAGGCCTGACTTGGGCCAGATTGGTTGCCAATAAATATAATCCCAGAAATTAAAACAAATTGAGTCCAATCAATTTGTCAATTAAAATAATTCAATTAAATTAACTTACCGAACAATTGATAGATAATCCAATAAAGAGAAAATAAAATATTTTTATGTTACCAAAATAAAAATCAAAACATGATGGAATCAACAGTGCTCCCATCCAATGTGGTGCAGCCAATAGTGATGGGCGATCTCACAGCTACAGATGACATCCGACTAAACGGGGATCCTACTCACATAGAAAGCCAATCCGCTGCCGAAACTTGTAATTTAGCTACTTTTTTCACAGTAAAAGAAAGATATAAAATACTGTTATATATATATATATATATATATATATATATATATAATTGCAGTATTTGGTGGGACAACTTTAGCTGACCACTTCGGACGTGGTATTCTCTGCTGCGAAGGAGGTCCGGTCCCCCTAAAACTGTAGGGAGAGAGGACTTAGTGTTCCATCAATGGTGACTCGTGATAAAGTATTCAAATATCTTTTAGGTACTTTAGAGAAGGAATAAATGATATTAATGCAGTTGCTGGTGATGGATCAACGACTACAGAACAAGGAAGAAACCCTGTGAGAGAGGATCACGATGCCGATGGAGAGCAAAGATAAGATGAGACGCGTATCCATAAGTCAACGCAGAAGACTTCAATTGTGTTCTTCACCTCCTCCACTCGACGATTATTTTAAGAACACAGCCCTCATCTGATATGTGCAGACGGGAGCTGCAGCAGTAACGCACTCCGCTGGTCCATGCAACCTTTTTTGTGAGGAGGTAGGAGTCTTCGTACGTTGGTCCTTCGTCCACGAAAGTTAGGCGAGTCTTAGATTTAAACGCGACAATGTTGTTATCAAGATCTCCAAGCAATCGAGCCAACTTGTTTTGGTACACCGCCTCGTTTGACATGCTCACACTGGACCCCCTTGGAGAACGCCGTGATTTTGTAGTGGAAGATGTAGTCGCTCTTGTGCTTTGGATGGGGTATCCCTAAGTCTTTAAAGCATCGGACGCCGACCGGGGAGCGAGGGGTTGTGCGTCGGCCGGTCCATGACGATGGATGACCCAGCAACTTTATTCCCTCTGTTCTGTCATTCTCTTGCTTTACATGGATAGAGATCTAGTGGTGCGTACTGATCGATACAGTGA